GTTGAAAGACCTCATCACACCTACATTGACCAACTTGTAGATGACTCTGGATGCCATTTGGAGAACCTGCCAACAGTGATGTCTAACAGAGATGGTTGGAGGGAATGAATCAGGAGAATTCTTGACCTGATAAAATCTGACCAATCTTGATTCTGATTTTCTTTTTCAACAGGTAGCAAAGAGAACATGAATTCTTTTTCTAAGTAAGATTTGGTTTTCTTCTTCATCACCACAAGATCAGTCTCTTTAAAGGTGAACATCATCAATTGATGTTTCACTGGAAATCAGCAGATATCTTTTGTATTCCATTGGAGAGATGTAAGTTCCACTGCAGCAGCAGCAGCTTCCCATAAACTGCTGTTTTGTGGAACCAACTCCCAAGAGGATGCTTCCCCAATCACTACAAGTTTAACCTGTTCAAGTCTAGGATTAAACATTATCTTTCCCACATATCCCCATAAACTCTGTAGCCCTCTATCTCAAGGGACTCTTGGGCCTTTTACAGGGTGAACATAGTTGTAATCAATGATTTAACCTTTTTCTGATGATACAGGTATCATTCATGATTCAAATTGGAATGACTAATTGGCAATTACAATCTCCTCACAGATAAAGAAGAGACTTAAGGCAACAGAAATGTGGCTTTACAGAAGTATGCTAAGAATACCATGGACTGAACATGTAAGTAACAAGGAAGTTTTAAGGAGGGGACCTCCATAAAAAAACAATACCTAAGTTCTAAAATTAATTTTTAAAAAATAAAATGTCTTCCCTGAAGCTTTTATTTTAGTTTTAATTCCAAAGTAATAGATTAAATTTGATATTGCCAATAAACAAAATACTTTGCTCTATTTCAAAAACTAATTTAAATTGACTGGAATTTTTTTTTTTTTTTTTGCTAAAATAGCTGATTATCCACCTTTTTTAGTTTTCTTTCATTCCAATGTAATTCTCTTTATTAAAAAATCTTCCAAAAATAAAATATACTTTTCTGAAACTCTGAGAAATATTAGCTGATTTAAAGTCTGATTTGAAGCAAATATTATTTATTTCAACTTTAAAATATTGCAGAAATGCATTTTTTAACCCATAGTTGTATTTTAACTTAACAATAGCTACTTTAACTGGTTGACAGCCTGATGACGTTCTACAGGACATAATATAAGAAAATGATGTAAGTACTCAGTAATTTTAAAAATTTAGGAAAGTTTTCTCCATAATTTAATGTTTTAATAAATTTTAGAAATATTGACTTTAAATTTACTATAGTTATCACTTATTTTCTGATGTCATTTATGATCAACCATACTTACAAAAATTGGCACATTTATAGACATACAAAAAATTCAAAATTCTTTTAAACATATTGGTTTGATAATTTGTATTAAGCTTTTCCATTTATGATTAGTAAATATAGGTTTCACTTAATAATATCATCAAAACTGTTGAAATTGATACAGAATTTTAAGATTTAAAACTTAATAAATTTTTCTAATTAAAATTTTTAAAAAATGAAAAAAAATTCATTATTCTTTGAAAAAAAATTTCTTTCTTAAGACAATAGTGTCATTAATGTCTTTATAAAAGCTTTTCTAATTAAATAATGTCATAGTTTTATTGCATTTTTTATTTTATGATTCAGAGCAGATTTTCAGTAAATGATGTTTCTGTTTAAGTAAAACAAATTGATGATTTAAATTCTCCAAGGAGTCCTGCTTTTAACTAATATAAATATGAAGAGGCTGGAAGCCAGCTATTTTGTTAGCAGGTGTTGTATGTTTTGTTAGTTTTTTTTTTTTCCTAACATGAAATGGACCCTACTCTGATTTGAACATCTGACCTTGGAGTAGGCCACATAGTAATACACCAGCAAACTAGTATTAAATTATTCAAGCCTAATTTTAATATTTGTAATTATGTTTGAGTTACTTGAACCCATTGAAAATGACAAAAACTAAGACATTTCATTTTTACAAAATCTTTATTACATTTTATGAGGGTTAACAAGACAGTCATAATTTTAAAAAAAAAGAAAAAAGCAGTTTCAAAATTTAGAAAAAAGTTTTTTTTATTTCTTAAATTCTTCAAAAGCATCGAATTAGAGAAAAAAATATTCAATAGAAATTTTTTTTCATAACTTGTATAAAATTTTCTTCAATAGAATATTTACACCGTTTTATTTTTTTTATTTTTTACTGATATATTTATCAAAATCGACATAAAAAATAAAAATCTGATAGCACCAATAAAAATAACTTTAAGGCAAATTAATTAAAATCACATGGTAAAAAAAAAGAAAAGGGAGATAAATGTTAGGCTCAGAAAGCATCAAAATGACCAGGAAGGGGGGGGGGAACTTTCTTAGGTGTCAGGAACAGTAAGCTTGTAACCAGTGAGAGACATTGATCAGTGTTCAAATGCAAGTAAAAGCTTTTATTTCAAATGCGAATTTTCCAAATTATCAGAATATACCTCTCACTGATAGATTTGCCCAAAACAATCTGCCGACTCGCCTTGGTTTTTGCATTGTCAGTAAATATCAGATTAGCAAAATTGATTTTAATCAGCATGTAGTTAGGTTTAATATTTATAATAAAATTACTATATCTTATAATATTCAATATTATCATAAAAGTTTAATTTAATATTTAAGGAGGTGCTGAAAAGTACATGGAGTGACCAAAAAGAGAGTAAAAAAAAATATTCTTATTTTTAGTCGGACCAAGAACTTATCAGCACCTCCTGTAAACATTTACAATAAAAATAGTAAAAGTTCAATATTTAATTACAGAATATTAAGGCAGACAGATAATTTTCTTAAATCATACTTGTTGTCATTGAAATACCAACAAGAAGTCACAGCCCAACAACTTATTTGATATTTTAACATGAATTATATTTAACTATTCCAGAAACTATAAACAATTTTTTTTTTGCTATCATTTGCCAGCCACAATGATGGAGAAAGCATTACCTCGAACCATCGCCAGTGAGACACGCTGCAAGAGCCACTCCGTTCCGCGAGGCTCATCCCTTAATCAAGACGCAATCGCGCCAATCCACCGAAGGAACGCCATTGAACGAGGGCCATAACCTCTGAAGTCTCCACTGCCACAGGAGTAAAAACAAATCTATCAGCAAGAGAAGAATATTTAACTATTTTTTTTCATCTCTGCGTCCCGGGTGACGGATCCTGGCTCAGTCACAGACCTGATCAAATTATATTTAAAAATGTATCTGCACAGGTCACATCTCAAATCAAGACTTCCCCATTTTAAAAGGGAAAATGGTAATGACATCCGGCCACTTTCTATCACCACGGTCGAGGCCTACGGATTCGATTTGGGAAGGAAATTTAACTATTAAATATAATTGAGCGCGTTTTTTTTCCAGAGTAACCTTTACTTGTTATCTCAATTATAACATTAATGGAACTTAAAGAATATTTGTAAGCTGTGAGGAATAAACAGGACAGTAAAAAGTTGTAGGCGTAATTTGAGAAATTGTCACAAATGATACTTGCAGACAAGGTAGTGCGATGGTACAAGAAATGGGATCAGGGAGATCAAGTTCAAATTTTAGTTAAAGCTGCTTATGTTAGAATGGCATGGCATTTCTTGAACACTTTTATTGTCTAAAATCTTAACAAAATATCTTGTTACTTGCATGCCATGAGAATTGACTGAGAAAAGACTTAGGTGACTCTCCACAAATTCCTTGGGTAATATGGTGGAGTGGTTTCCCAATGCCTTTTCTATAGTTTAGAATTCATTTGCTTAAATTGGTTTCCACAACTTTCCCTGCATTGACTTTCAATTTTTCACAAAAACGGGCAGATATGCACTATTTGAAAGCTTTCTAGTTTCAAATGTTTGTACTTCCCTCAATAATAAACATTGCAAATTTGTTTCAAGCTTAAAATGTAGTTTGACGTGACAAATCGTGTTAATGAAACATTTCTTTTTATGTGGATTTGTCCAAGTTAATTTCCTCAGATTTTTTTTTTTTTTAATGAAGTTCACTCAGCTTGTCTGTGGAAGATAACAGTTGATCCTAGCTTTAAACAGTTTAAGATTGTAGTGACTGGGAAAGCAACTTCTTGGGATTCAGTTCCACAAGGCAGTGGTTCATGGGAAAATTACCAAAGGAACACAAAGTGAATGAGGGTGGTTCATTACAGTGTGAGTGGCATGGTAGGTCTTAGTTCCACCAGAACTAACCTTCAGGGCTAAGGAGTGTAGTTCACTCTCCATGGAAATGGCGATAGAGCCACAAGAGACTTGCTATATCACACCTTATCACGTCTGTGAGAAAAGGGTTGTAGGACAGAAAATAATTTCATGGTTTAAAGGAAAAAAAAAAAAAGTTCCTTCCTGCTCCCTGCCATCACATCTTGTTCTGAGATGGTAAAAAAAAAAAAAAAAAAATACAGGGAAAGTTATCAAAACCAACCTACATATAATGATTAAAACATGCTTCTTTTCAATGTTTCTTTTAGCCAAATTATGGAACAGAATGTGTATGAAGATAATCCTAATATTTCTTTAAAAAAAATAAAAATAAAAATAAAGAACTAATCTCTGCAGATTAGATAAAAAAACAAAAAACTTTACATTTTAAAATTGAAGCAGTTTTAAAGCATCTTTCAGTTTGATTGCAAACTGATGAACTAAGTTGGAAAGACTCTCGTTTCTAGCAGTTATTCACAGTATTACTTCCCCCTTCCAAAGTCTCTGATCGCCCTATTGATGGTTGTTTTGTTGCCATAGAAAGACATGAAAACACAACCTCAAAAGTGTAAAAGGTTCAGTGAAATTTGTAATGTCAACACCAGATACTGGCCCTTAAACCTAGGCGCTCATCAATCAGTTTTAAAAATTTAATCATTTAGATATCGCCATGAAAAAGGTAATTAAAATTTTTTTTTTTTTTTTTTTTTAAATTCTAAAATTTCAGAATCTTCAACCTTTGTTTATTTGGATTTTCTATTTGTCTTCATTTTAAACAGGAGAATTAAAAATCGTAAGGACTCCACCCACAAGGTAAACACTGCCAGTCACCAACACCTGAATATGATCAGCCTCTTTCAGACTGAAAGGAATGTCTTTAATGGTCAAAAGTTTTTTGGAACAAAGCTCATTGTCCTTGCCTTTGCTCCACCAAAAAAGAGCCTCATAGATTGAACTAAAAATCTCTGTGGTTGAATCTTTGGACTCTTGCACATCATGAGGCAATGGGGCTTGATTACAAATGTCTCCTTCTCCATCAGGAATTCGCTCATGCAATTCTAACCATGTGTGCTGATTGCTCTTTGTCACATTCAAATTATGTCCTAACTTTTTTTGATCTGTGAAAAGAAAAAAAAGAAAAAAAAATGCATTTCAGAAATTCAAGTTGATCACAGGTAATTTTTTTTTTTTTGTGTTTCGATTGTTTGTTTGCCATGTGCATATGCAAGATTCTACCCAAACATTAGGATACCTGACTAAAAAATGCTCTCCTTAGAAGTAATTATCATCTTGTGAGTCAACATATGAGATCCCAAAAATAGCTGCAAAGATTTATGCTATATCAATTAATTTGTGCACAACTGGCCGCACTTACAAAATTTTGACTAACATCTTGTATTCAAGGGTTATAAAAAAAATAAGAAATAATTCATGACTATTTATATACTGCCTTATTTCTTGTGAATGCAGAAAGATAGTGTTTTTCATTACATAAACAAACTAATTTAAATCCTCTGCTGCCTAGCAGCTATACCCACTCATGGAAAAAAAGGCTTCAGAAATCAACTGCTATAATTATCATCTCATTCTAAATTTCTTGTTCATAAAGAAAGCAAAAAACATTTTTCTTTCATTAGTAGTAGAGAGAAATTTTCTTTAATATTTACTGAACTAAATTTTGTCCTGTCCCAAAAAAAAAAAAAAAAAAAGGCTAGGAATTTAGGGGTTGGGTGAAAATTGTTGCTTACCTTGAACTCCTCTATCCAAAAACTTTCTTCCCCCACCGTCCAATAGGTTAAATTATTGACCATTGTAAACTTTGATATATCTATATTTAAGACTAGCACTAGAGCCCAGCGTTGCCCAGAGATGTAACAGTAAGAGATTGATCAAATATCAACCATCATAAAGACTGAAAAATAAAATTGACAAAGATTATTGTTTAAGGTTGACAGACACGCATATCTTAATTAGTTTTTTTTTTTACGAATTGGTCAAACCCAAACAAAAACATTGTTTTCAATCGTTATGAGTCTATCGATTGAATAGAATTTTATTATAAACAATTGTCTTGTAAATGGAATTTTTAAAGCATTCTGAATGTAAAAATAAAGAAAAAAGTGTGCAAAACAATAAGAAACACTACCTGCCAAAGAAAAAAAAAAAAAGTTTTGTTGAAATCGGTTGAAAAATATCGGAAATGTTCCCATATATAAACGAACACACACACAACATGGGTTTTATAAGTATAACTCGGTATGAGTTGTCACCCTTTCATTCTCGCGATACCTCTTAATCGTGTTTTCAAATTGATTTTGTGCAAAAACAATTGTGTTTTTCCAATTTTTGATGCTGTCAGAACCACCGCAAGGTAATTTTACGTAGTCCTGTGAAGTTTTGTTGAAATCGGTTGAAAAATGTAGGAAATCCGATCCAATATATAAACGTACAGACACACACACAACCTGGGTTTTATAATAAGTATGATTGAGAAACAAGCTGAAAGCATCAGAAATGATTTCCCTCAACTGGGAAACTTTACAATTAAAAAAAAAAAAAAAAAAAAGGGAAGACAAAAATATTTAAATATCCTTTCCAAGAAAATGTTATCTTGTATCTGAAACATATTTTCACCACAGAAGATATGATTTAGAATTAATAAAATAAAAAGGCTATTGTCATCAATCTACTTCTCCACCCCCATCTTAGTGTTCATATGTCTGTTTAATATTTCCTGTTTTCTTGGATATTTGATTGGCTAATTTTGTTTAGCAGCATATCAACCTCTGAGTTATTTAATTTCCCAAGGGTTTTTGCATGTAAGTAACTTTAACGAACCTGACTAGAATTGGAACTCTGTTTTCCAGTTAACAATTCTGAGCCATTATCCATTACACTACCTGGTATTCCCAAGCAGTCACCCATATAGGTACTGGCCATGTTCAACGCTGCTTAACTTCAGTGATTGTACATAAACCTGTGTTTCGACATGATGTGGCCGTAAGCCCTCGGATATTTGAATCCTTAGTAATAAATATTAGTAACTAACAAAGACATATACTATCATATATCTAAAATGACAATGCTTTTTTTTAACTAAATTTTACTAATATCTTCACTGCCTCCTTGACTATTTGAACCATCTATGTTTTTGGTAACATTACTAATATTGCTGCACAAAACTATTTCTGTTTTATTTTGGCAAATAAAATTCAGTTTATTAAACTATAAATAATAATGCTTTTTGTACTTCTTTTTGACGCTGACATTGCACTTTTTCTTGCCTGAGTCGTATGTGATTTGTGTGTCAAGCATATTACTTTTCTTAAAACCAACAAACGGCTCTTGCTATATCTATTTATCTGAAACAAAACAGAAGAATAGATGCACATTTATGTCATGTAATAATAAAACTGTTTGAATTTTATTTGGTTTAATAGCTCTCAAGGATAGTAAAGTTATCAATAAAGTACTTGTAAAAAAAAAAAAAAATCAAACAACTCTTTGTGGATTATTTAAACCATAAACATTTTAGACTAAGAATATTTTTTTTTGCAAGGGAATAGTGCATTAACAATTTAATCTGTAGCTGGGGAGAAGAGATAGATTCATATCTTTCCCAAGGGTTTTTTCATGTAAGTGAATGTAACGAACCCAACTGGAATTCAAACATCTGATTTTTAAATCATGTTAAATTCCTTTTCCAGATCTTTGGTAATTTATTCAGAAAAAAAGAAAAAGTTTTAAGAAATTTCCTAAGGAGACTTACCCTCAATAACCATATCTGGGTAACATACATTTGGTGTAAAAATGGCCATGTCGAACCCACAATCCTTTTAAAAGAGAGGGTGAAAAAAAAGAAAAAAAAAGAAAATATGATTTTATTTTTGTCTACTTAATCATTTAGAAAGTTGTGATAACAAAAAACAATACAATGAAGAAATAAATATTCGTAATATTGCAGAGACGTACAACTCATGCCTTCAGGCTTGGCACCAACACTTCCTATCAATTCAAGGAGAGCTCGTCGGGTCGCAGAGAAAGCAGGACACGCCCTTGTCCAAGAGAGAATCCAGTACAATCGTTGGATGAAACATCGACTACATGCTCATATCTCCCAGACGCTCGAGGATTTCTTCAACAGAATTACCAATGAAGAAGACTAGAGAAGGATCCAAAATGACTAGGATAAATCCTTCAGACATGAATTTGATGTAGTCAAGGCTCACCAAGTGCAAAAATTAAATAGATTGAAAGATCAGAAGGTGACGCACAAGGTCCATAACCCACCAGTGAAAGCAGTAGTCAACATCAGCCAATATCAGCTGAGTGCCTCTGAGGAGTCAGTGTTGAATAAAGGTCTCAACTTCGCCACAACCATCAGGCGGCTGCCATACTTGGACATCATTGCCAGAGTAGAGGAGATGGCCTTGAACATCCCTCAGGCTCAGGCGGATGAAATGAGATGGAAAGTGAGACAGGCCTTGGAAGACCTCATTAGCAATGGTAGCTACAGCATAGTGAAGAAGGATCCTACTATGAAAACGGAACACAAACTGTCACAGATCCTAATCAAGAACACGGATCACTTCGCATGCATAAGACGTATAGGCAGTTATGCAGCATTACACCAAGTTACCTCACATATACGGTCTCCCTAAGATTCACAAAGACGGTATTCCACTCAGGCCGATTGTTAGTTGCCAAGGCTCTGTGTGCCACCCTCTGAGTCACTTCCTTGTAGATATAATTGATCCATTGATCGGAAAATCTCCTTCATATGTCCGAAACTCCGCCCACTTTGTGGAAATAATCAAAGATGCTCCCATCCTATCCAACCAGATGGTGAGCTTGGACGTGGTGAGTCTGTTCACCAAGGTACCCACGGAAGAGGCACTCTTAGTAGTCAGAGATAGATTGACCTCTGACTCTTCCCTAGAGGAGCGGACCAGTATTCCAATAGATAATCTGATGGAGATGTTGACTTTCTGTACACAAACAACACACTTTGGAATGGGATCACATATATATCGACAGGATGAGGGCTTAGCAATGGGCTCGCCATTATCACCAGCAATGGCGAATATATACATGGAATACTTTGAGGAAATGGCATTAGAGTCTATATCGCTAAAGCCAACTATATGGTTATGGTACGTAGATGACACCTTCATACTCTGGCCACATCAGGAAGATGTCCAGGTTCTACTGGACCATGTGAACTCAATAAGACCTTCGATACAGTTCACAATGGAGAAAGAGAGTAACAACTCACTCCCATTCCTGAATGTACTAATATCTCGGACAGAGCATGGGTTCAAGACATCCGTATACCGTAAACCAACATTCACTGGACAGTACCTCAATTTCGACTCCCACCATCCATACAGCGTAAAGAAAGGGATCGTCCGATGCTTACAACACTGAGCAAAAGTCATAAGTGGCGATCCAGAGACGTTAGATAAGGAATTGGTCAGTATAAGTAGTACCCTACAACGTAACAACTATAATATAAAGGAGAGACAGGCCGCCCCCTCAAGGTAAGGCTCCAAGAACACCAGAAAGCTGTAACGCAAGGGGAAGTAGAAAAATCAGGCGTGGCTGACCACATATGGAGAGAAGGAGATCACCGCCCCTGTGGGATCATGTTGAGATCATCGACAGGGAACACCATTGGAAAATTCGTAAACTTAAGGAATCAGCACATATGCTAGGCTACAAAAATCTCCTGAGCTGACCAAGCATAGAAATAAATACAATATGGGAACCAGTAATAAGGAGTGCCAGAGAAAAGCAATGATAACAAAGTTGCAATATGAACTCTGGTAAAGACATTCAATGATAACAGCAAAATTGCAATATGAGCACTGGTAAAAATGATACTGAAAACATTAGGTTTATAATACTCAGAAGTTCATACCTAGATGTCCTCAAGTGGATAAAGGCGTTGGTTAGATCCAGTGACAGACCCAAAGAAGGTGAGTTCAATTCCTGGTTAAGGCAGTGGAGAACTTTCAGAGGGAAAATTAGCAGGAGATAACTGATAACTGACATCCATCAAACATGGCACGTGGAACTAGAACTACCCCAGTGATTGAAATAAAGGGTTCAGTTCGAAATTCCAACTACCTGAAGAAGGCCGAAACGTTGTGACAAATATGAGGACAATAGTCCGACTAATGTAAATACTGTACATAATACCTCATCTCAGAAATATAGACAGACTCTAAATATTCCTAATATTTTACCATAAGCACAAACAACAAGGACCCCACGTTAAACTGACATTTCTTTTTTATCATTTCACCCCATGCAAGGTGATAATGCCACTAGGATGCAAAGGAGAATCAGAAGATTTTTCAGGAAGTGAGGGAAAGGACAAAGAAACAGGATTCAGGAAGACTGATGATGATTAATGTTGCATTTAAATTTTTGAAGATTGTAGGTGGCAGGGAAGTAAGAAATGGGAAAGGAATTCCACAGGTGAGAAGTGCAAGAAAAAAACTGATGGTTGCATCTAACTAGTTCAACATTGAAACATAGTTGCCAGTTTAGTAGCATGCTTAAATTCCTGCAGTCAAGGAACTAAAGAGAAAAATTCATCAATTACCACGAAAATATTTGTAGAAAAGACAAGAAAACCATGTCCAAATGGTCAGAAAGCAATTGAAGATATGATTCGTCAGAATCAATTTCATTACAAGTCCTCCTTTGAATTTTGATAAGGATCTTAAGATATATCTCCAGACCAGATATGGCAGCAATATTCAATGCGCAGGTTAATGGTAGATTTTTAAATGTGGATGGATTCTGATGTAATAAATTCTCTGTTGCAACACAGTGAACCAACTTTCCTAACAGTAGACCTAGCAATCAATTCAATATAATCACTGCACTTCATGTCAGTGAAATACATGAAGAAGGCACAAAGTGTTGATCCCTTGGAGTTCAGCATCAGCCATGTTGATGTCAGACAGAAAAGGTTCTCTGTGGCGATTAAGTAAAAGCAGTTTTGTTTTGGAGGCGTTAAGCCCTTCCTTTCACCACTTAACCAATGATTAAAGGTAACTTTCAAGAACAGTTGCCAGTTTTACTTCGTTGGATCTGTCAGACTAGCTACTCGGGCAGGAGTAAATAGCTGTGTCATCTGTATAGATATCTAGTGAGGAACTGATGACAACAGGAATAGCATAGATCTGGGGGATAGCACCCGGGGAGAGGGGGGGGACCCTTGTATTCATATGAAACAAACAAGAAGTATGTCCATTCATTACACAATTTGTTAAGAATGATTGGATTAAGCCAAATATTCATCCAGAGACACCTTAGTGTTTGCAGAGAAGGCCAGCATGCCAAAATCTGTCGATATCTAGGGCCACAGCTGGAGCTTCGTCGTTCTTATTTATAGACAAATTCAATGATGTCCAGTAGACCTGAAGAAACGGAGTCATATTGTTTATTAGAAAGGAGGTCATGTGAAGTAAGAGCTTCTAATACTTTGCCGATAAGAGACTAACAGGCGATAATTCGAGGGGTCAGGTGGTTTTTCAGAGTTCGCAAAGACAGTAACTACAAAAGAGGACTTCCAACAAGCTGGAAAACAGAAAGTAGCAAGGCATTTATTTTAAAGTTTGGAATGAACTTCAGCCAGTTCAGGAGCACATTTCTTTAGGATCATTGTACAGATACTGTTAAATTCACAAGCCTTTTGGAGATAAAGTTTAGAAATGATAGCAGCAACCATGGATAGAGAGAGAGAGAGAGAGAGAGAGACACTGTTCTCAAAGGAAAAATCAGAGATACTCCAGAAGAATCAAGAGTAGAACTGAAAAATAATTTCCAAGCAAAGCACTCTGCTTTTTTGCAAAACTGCCAGTAATCTCTAGAACCAAACTTGTGAAAGGCTATACGATATCATTTTATCAGCAAATAGTGACTTTGCCTCTTTCAGGTCACATTTATATTTATTACAAGCAGTAGAACAAAAACAAAATAACTAACCTTCAAATGAAGCATCATGTTGTGTGGATTACGTTTACCAGTTATATTAAAAAGAAGAATCTTCACATTTTTATTAGGCCTGAAAAGAAAAAGTAAGACAAGTTTGAATAACACATCTGGTTAAAACAAGTAGCCCAGTTAAAATAATTGCAAGCATTGAACAGTGATTTTTTTTTCCAATACAATTCCTCAGTTTCGCCTTTCAAACATACTTGGAGATGAAAGTATAACTTATCAAGTATTATCTCTCATTAAAAAGTGAATGCATCTCCATTATTTAAGATAATTCATGGAAAATATTTAAGTTAAAATAATTTTTGGTGCTTTTGTGACTTAATTTTAAAATAATTTCCATTCAAAATTTAATAGCTCAAAAGATCCAATACTGTTGAAACTATTTTTTGAGTATGTGTGTACGTATGCATATATATATATATATATATATATATATATGATAAAAATATAGTTTTATGGTATGCAATATTTATAGGTTAAACTGCACAATAGAGACAGAGAGTGTATGTAAATATAAAAGTGAACATTGAGTTCAACACCCAATGGCGAGTCTGTTTCATGCTTAAATGCATTCTTCAGGCCATATGTCTTGTGTTTTGGTTCAACTATTTATATTTGCTGATCTATTGTATTATCCTAACAGATATTGGGTGGGCCAATAAGAGTTATATTTCACAGTATTCTAAAGGGTATTGAGTAGAAATACTTGTGGATCCGATTGTAGTTATTTCATAGTGTTGTTTTTTAACTTTTTTTTTTTTTTACTCTATATATATATATATATATATATATCCCAGCTTGAAGCAATCAGACATATAGCTACACTGAAGAGCTGTGATACAGCAAAACAGTCTGTGGATCGCAATATATATTTAATTTTTATTTACTTGACATGTGGGTGCACAAAGCTTTTGGGAAATTAATATATTTTCAGCTACTCCAGCAGCCTTCATCAGTTTGAGGATATATATCAATTTTTATAACTAGGCTAAATTTCTAATCTAGTGAACATTAATGAGCTCAGGTAGAGAATTGCAACACCTGATGAAGATTTTTATTGCCTATTACTCCAGCCAGATGAATGTCAATTATAAGGAAGTAGGAATGCATAGCTAAAAACTCTTTCTCCACTTTGTCTTATTAATGTGTTAATAAGAATGTATATGTGAGATTACAAGATAAAGAATATTAAATAAATGATAAAAATGGGAACAGGTAAGAAAGAGATTATCTGCGACTATAGAAGAATAAGAATAATAGTAATATTATTATTATTAATGATGGTGATGAAAACTAGAAAGAGAAATTTGTTAAATAAATACACAATATTTATCTGGATGCATATACAGGGTAAACACATAGTAATGAATATAGAAAATCACCATTACTCTATGTGCCTAAGTGTAGCTTAGATATGGCACAAAGCCGAAAGTATGGGGCACCCACTGAGGATCAAACTCAGTCGTAATTGTTCTAGTGAGACAAGCTTGCTAGCCATTACACCATGACGATGTGCCCCTTGGCACATAGAAGAATGTCAGCATGTATAGTCAGGGGTCCTGTCAAGCCATAAGAATTATAATCATTGAGAATTTCTAGGTTTTTATTTAATCCTAAATTGAACAGCATTTTGCTGTATATACCCAGTCATGTTACATCATTATGGGGGAATGATTTATTCATTCACCCAATCGAACATCAAGACATGCCAGTGACAACATCAAAACATTTGGTGAAAGAACAAAGCAGAGAGTAGAATGGATTTATGCCAAAGGTTTTAATGATAAGTGAATATAAACCAGTTTTAAGTGCAATTCCAATTCTGGTCATAGATCATGTATTCTGCAATGATAACCATCAGGTCATCACCCACCCAATTGAAAGGATGAAGAATGGGACTTACTTTAAGTCGTTCATTTCTGCCGTGGCTTTCTTTTTAAACCAATCACAGCAAAGCTACAAATAAACAAAGACAAGTTATTAAAGGCTAAAACTGAAACATGGTCAATGCTTTTTTTTTTTCATTCGGCTTTAGGAAAAGTCATCTTCACCATTTTTAACACTAATATTTTAAACATGAAAAACAAAGTAAAAATAAGACAAACGATCTTCAAATTAGTTGTACAAAAACAAACAAATATTAATACAAACCCAATAACTGTGGAAAAAGTTGAAAGAAATAATAATAAATCTATAAATACTTTCATTGTAATTGTTTAGATGAGCTCTTCAATATGGTACTTAGACTTTTTGAATTTAAGTGCAGTACTAGACTGCCATCAAGATCTCATCAATTTACAGTTGAGATCAGTAAATGAAGCTCAAAGTTCTATGTTAACACTTTCTTTTATCTCACTTCTTGCTCCATGAAATGCAATGTCAATCATTATCTACTGTCCTCCTGATTACTCTTTTCTCTTTCTACTCATTATTAATATTTCTGTTCCTAATTTTTCCACACCCTATAAACCCTTGCATTTTAGTGTCTTTACTGCTTTGCATGAGGTGATACCAATCAAAAAGAAGTTGTAATGAGTAATTTAGTAGTTTATTACTATTGTTTTGCAGCATGGACAAGGAAAAAATTTAAATGTTACAAATATAATTTGATTTTAAATAATAGCAATTACTATTTTGTACCAGATACAAGCAACATTTGAAAGAGTCACACACCAGTGAAAATTATTTTATCTAGCACACTTTATAAATTGAATAAACATTTTGTCAGGAATTTTTTTGTAAGTTTATAATAGACATCAAACAAAAATTACTTGAAAAATAAGTGTGCTATACCAAATAAGCAATTTAAGTAAATTGGGAGAGTAAAAAAAAATTATGGAAATAATTTAAGCATGCTGGAATTTGTATTTTGAATACAAGAGTAATTTGGCAAAAAAATAACAAAGTGGTTAGGAAAATAAATTCATTAATGAAGACAAATTAAGACTAAAATAATTTTTACCATAGGAAAAAAAACTTCATGGTATTTCAAGATCCAATTTTTAAATTCCAAATGTAAAAAGTCAAAATTGAACCTTTTATTTATAAAATTTTGTCTAAATAACTACAACAGATGCTTATAGTTAAATTTATGTTGAATTTTCTATGTATGATATTAAATATTAGAAAATAATAAGAGACACAATAATTTTGTTTTTTAGCAACATTAATTCTTGGCCACTGACAATACTTTCTTTTTGAATTTAAATGCACATCATCCAAATGAAATTTGCTCAGTTTTATATTTAAAAACTGCAAAAGTTTGGTGCTTATCAAATTGACCTGTTCACAAGCAGAAATATTTTACTCAAAAGGTGCAAAAAGTAACTAAAGATAAACGGTTTTGTTTTGTTTTTTATGTTTGTTTAGCTGCATATGAACTCCTTATGGGTCATTTAGTGCCAAAATTTAATTTTCTTGGGAGCATTAGTAATTTCTTTTACAAAAATGTATTGCTGGTATTTTTACTATAAAAATTTTGATACTTTCGAAGTGTTTTGGGGGTTAACTATTTGCTCATATCTGGGACACTGACAGGTGCTATGACCCTCAACAGGTTGGACCTGGGAATAATCACAATTAAGATCTAAAAACCACATGATCAGAAGCCTTGCTGTTGGATGCGGTTTATCACTGTACCCAGGATGGAAAGATAAACTGAGAAGTATTGGTAAAGTTAGAGTGCAAACAAGAAAAGCAAAAACCTAATCGAGGTGTACAGTGTTCAAATGCAATAAAAGGCAATACAACTGCAATCATTGTTATATTTTCCTCCTCTCAGTACCACCAGAATTTGCTACATCATTATACAAATAATCATGAGACTAAATATTTTAATGCATTTGTTGAATAAATCCTACCTAAAGAGTGAATTCAAAAATAAATACAACTAGTTCTGTATGTGTTGCTTACATAAAGATGATCCAATTTCAAACCTAAATTGCTTTTCCATTTAAATTACTACATTTATTAGAAAATATATTCAGTTTAAATGCAGAACGTGTTAAACTTCAAATGGGTTGTTGTCAGACACAAAGCGAAATTTCCCTCAGGACACAGATGACTATTTCAGTTTCATTCAAGTTTTCTGTGTATGTACATTCTCACATTCTGCATATATATTTTAATTCAATGACAGACATACAAACATTTCTATGAAATTAAAAAAAAAAAAAATAGCTTTATTTATTGCAGAGTAAATCACAAAAAAAAAAAAACAAACAATAAAATCTTACGATTATCTGATAATTTTAGGTTTTAAAAAAATTAATGTCTTTTTTGTTTCTAATTTTGATTTTATTGCTCAGTTCAAGGTAGAGATTGTTCAGATTAAGTGGGAGAGGAATGTCTTATTCCAATGTCTTATCTAAATCTGTCAAATTGTGTGTGTGTGTATATACATTAAATGGCACAAGTAAATGTAAGTCACATACAGACATATACAAAGTTACATGCAGACAATGTGTGAAAAAACAGAATCAGCACTTTTATAATATAGATTTATAAACACCTTGATCAAGACCAAAATTCAACTAACCTTTATACTATCTTCAGTATGAGCTCCATCAAGATAGTAGGTGATGTTTTGTCTCTTAAGAATTTGTACTCGACCTGCCCAACAAGTGGATTTCATGGCTGAAATAAGTAATATTTTATTTTTAAATTCAAGTTCTACAAATTAATGTTTTCTAATAAGGTAAAAATAAATGAAATTATAAAAAAAAAACTCACTTTAAATTTTAGAATCATAATTACAATCTCTTGAAATCATCTTACTAGCAGTACATCACCAATTTTCTGGCTCCATTGGTTCCAGAACTATGCCAGGTTATCAGTTTTTCCAGACCAACAGAAGTCCCATAATAACAATTCAATAATATGCCTCTGTCCTACTCATTATGTATCTCTCGTATCTCTACAGCATTATCAACAATGCAAACAGTTATCACATGTTGCCTGGTGAATTAATCTGGTCACTGAATTTGAATTTGTAATTCAAATGCTTACTTGTAATTTTGTGTGGATTAAAAAATATGCTGCATCCTCAGTTGCTGAAAAATATATAATATACAAAGTGTTTTATTTTTTTCTAATTTGTGTAAGGTTATGTATATAGCACAGAAGTTATTGACATGAAAAGTGGAATCAACAAGCAGAGTTCAAATTACAGCTAAGGCTGTTACATTCACTTTCACACAAATACCCTTGGGTAAGTTATGAGTTCATTTCTTCTTATCAGTTAAAAATTAAGGCAGATTGAACTCTTTAGATTTGAGTGGTATCAAGTCACTGAGAAGAACAACTATGATTGGTTTTGGCAGATGGCACTTATAAACCTAAACTATTAACCCATTTAAGGAAAAGAAAACACTGATTTAAAAAATCCTTTGTCTTGCAGTTCTACCCACTCATGGGAAAAGATTTGGAAGTCAATCCCAAGTAAAAATCCAGTGTTGGAATCCCTAAGGCTGTATTCAACAATGTCCTGGCAACTCCTGCAATGACGTTGAAACCATGTGTACCAGCACTTACTTTTCCATTAGACCATTTCCATTAGTAATGCAGAAAGAGAGAGATGAGACCTATTACTTGGGTAACAACCTATCCCCACCCCCATATCTACCTACCCTACACTGGAGAGATAAGAAGCAGCAGCAGCAGTCTATATGCTGTGTCTGAAACATCATTCAGAGTACAGCTTAATGAATTTGTCCAAGATTAAATCTTAATGAATGAAAAAAAAAAAAAAAAAAAAAAAAAAAAAACTGAAGCTAAATTAATAAATTTTAATGAATGAATTAAATTTTATTGATGAAATTTTGGATTCATTTTTTATGAATGAATTGCATGACACTGAAATCTATAATAATTAACTTACCAGGTACAACAATGTCAGCATCAGGAATTAAAGGTTCGAGGACTGGAATTACTTTTCCAGAAAAAGTGTCCACCCATTTTCTCTTCTTTAAATCTGGGTTAAGAAGAAAGAAAAAAAAATTGAAATAATTTAAGTAAGGCAGAGTTTTCTTTTCAACAAAACAAATTAACATTATAGGTTTTTTAGTACAACACTGCAAAAGATCTTGAAAGAAAATTTTAGACATTTTAATATTGGAGGCACAGTAGAGTAATGGATTGCGGCTTGGATTGAGGAATTGGAGACCCAAGTTTAAATTTCAGTTGAGTTCATTACATTCACTTATGTACTAATACCATTGGGAAAGGTATGAACTCTTTTTTCTACCGCCCCCCCCCCCGCGATGGGTAAATAGCAGGACAGACTGGGTTCTATAGCCTTAGGTAGCAACCAGTCTAGACGGAAAACTCTCAATTCAAAACTGTACGTAACTCTAGTGAGAAATGTACTTTGCACTGACTCAATGATCCTGACTACGGTCAATTCCAATATTAAAAGAAGGATTTTGTAAAAACTATATAATATTTAAGATTTCTAATTTATACATTGATAATATTAATGACTTTATGCCTGTGTCAGATTAGCCTAATCGCAAATTCTATGGGCCTCGTATTTTTGTGCAGTTAAATTTATATGAGCAGCTAAAATTAATGGCACAGAGTAAGTTTGATTATTCAGCAGAAATGATGAATTTTTTTCTTCATTGTTCTATAACTGCTCCCCTAAAGGCTATAGACTGCTAAGAGACATCAAAAATATAATTTTTAACTAGTTATTCAGCCATCAGAAAACTAACTTTATCACTATATGAATCCTATAGTTGAGCAACACAATAATTTTCTTATGCATATTAAAAATAAGTTACTAGAGGTAAAAGACATTACACTATCTTTGCTTGAAGATGAAATTCATCTTATGGGGGGAGTGGAGAGCCATGATCACATCCATCCCAAAAGGACAAGGCACATAAAAAGAAAATAATGTTGTTGGCATAGCCGACAATAGCAATGAGTCTGCAACAAGTGCATTTGCTTTTATGCTTAGTAGTGCATTCTCACGATATAAGGATGTTGTGCATATTATTCCAACTGAATGTCTTAATGCTGAGAATTTATTTGACTTAGTTAAATGTGTATTAATTAGTTGAGAAGAGATAGGCTTTAAAGGAATATCAATCATAACACATAATAGTGCAATAAATGAAATTGCTATATCTTTTTCTAGTCCAGCAAAACTTTCAATTGTGTATCCACATCCAGTTATGAAATCTAAACCTCTTTTCTTCATATTTGATTTAGTTCATATACTAAAATGCATTAGAAACAACTGGCTTGGTCAAAAAGATGCAAGTAAATGTGTGATGTTCTCAATATTTTGTCATAATGGAAATCGTGATTTACATAATATCCAAAAGTACCCCATTTAGTACTTTACAGAAGCTTCATGCCCTGGAATCTCAGTCAATTTTGAAATATTGCTATAAATTTTGACCTCAAAGGCTCTTTCTCCCAGTAGTCTTGGAAGGCCAAATGTTTCTCTAGTTTTTCAAATTTTTAACCAATTCACTATTCAGGGTTTGCTGACCTTATAGAAACAGAATGTTTGCCTAACTTTGCAGAAGTTGCAGAATACATAAACATATTTTATACTTGGTGGACAATACTGAATATAAAAACACCATGAATGCAGAGAAGTTGTTCCTGTTATATGATACATAGCAGGTTATTGCTGTTACGCAGTTTAAAAAAAAAATGAAATGCAACAGTTTTAAGAATTAAATATTTAGAAGTGATAATGAGGACAAAACACCTGAAATAAGCAGCTATTTTCAGGGGATTAATAGAGATTTTCTGCTATATCCTAATGATACTGCTACAAATGCTGTTCTCTATAATTATATAGTTGTTGGAAAATTGACAAAAAATTCTTTTTTTCTTTATTCAGTAAATCAAAGGAAATTAGCCATGCACATAACCTTGAATGTTCTAGCAGATAATGATCATCTTTTTCATGTGGACTCTTTTGGTGAGGGTCACAATATTGAAAAATTAGAAAGAATGCTTGTCTGGAGCTCTTCCAATGTACTTTTGAATCATTTTTGTGCTATAGAAAATAATAATATTACTAGAAAGAAGTTAACTTCAAATGTTCAGCTAAATTTCCCAAATATCTATGTAACATTTTTTTCTAAAATTATTTAAAATTTGTCTTATTTTCTACACAACAAAAATGTCAAACATTGTAACTTTAATACTACAGAATAATTAAAATAAAACCTGCAAATTAAAACCATGTCAATTTTTTTTATTGTAAAGAAACTATTTTTCAAATAATTTTACAGAATCAAAATAAGGAGAAGGAATTTTACATTTAAATTTAATAATGAAACATACACCATTTAACATAGCAACAAATAAAAAAGTTTATTCTAAAGTAAAAATCAAAGCTTGGTTTCTTTCTTTTCTAATGTAATTGTAATATAAAAATATATTCTATATCAATATAATAATTTATAGAATAATCATTAAAATAAAAATGGATTTTTAATCTATTTATTGTTTGTCTGTTCTTTATTTAAAGATGTAAAGTAGAAATCAAACCCTGGCTTGCTTTCCTTCATCTAATATGAAAAATTATTGTCAATTTCAATTGTCAGTATCATAATTTTAAGGAATAAAACGTTTTTATAATAATATTGTTTGCTTGTTTTTTCTTTATATTTATAAATTAATATTGAATAAAATTCTAAGATGAAATTTGAACCCTGGTTTCTTTTCAATTGTAATTTAAAAAGTATTCTATACTTAAAAAAGCCAACTATCATTCATTTTCAGTAGCTTTGCTTCAGCTTATACTACTTGTGATAACATCATGTTTAACTGAACAGGCCTTCTATCTTAGTGGTGTTGATTTATTAACCCAGCTTAACCTTTAGCCCTCTGCATTATTAATATTACTTCCCGTTCCACTGCATTCTTTTTCAAGTCCTATTCATTGCAGTATCCTTACTATTAATTTCACTCAAAGGTGTATAGAAGGATATGGCAATACAACTATGAAATTCAAACAAATTCAGGGGTCAGAGTCACCTTTAGTAGCAGAATAAACTTTTTGTACAGCAAATGAAGTCACAGAGTGATAAGGGTTAATCATATTGTGCAGTACATTTCGTTAATTTAATGTCATTTTTTATGTTAATATACATTTTTACACTATTTGGCCGTTCTGCCCTCCAGCCTTTATGAGTTGTATCTGCACAAATTACAAGGAATTTCAAAATGAACCCTTTATTTAATCTACAGGAGTAGACTATCTAGGACACGGATTTTCAAGCGGTGTGCCACAGTACACTAGTATACCATTAAAATTTTTAAAGGTCATTAATTAAATTATATTTGAAAGAAATCCAAAGCTGAATAAGCGTTCATATCAAAATTAAAACCCCTTTAAATTGATTATAGAAGTATATCATTGTTATAATAAATAAACATATACATAATGTAAATGGGTGGGGTGTGTGAAATGAGGTCACATGACGCATATAGGTGGTACAATTTGACAAGGATTTGTCAATGAACACCAATATGTATTGAAATCATCCAAAGTTGATTTCAAGAATGACTCAGCAATTGTTTATTGCACACATATTGAATTGTGCCCAAAGTACTGAGAACATGTAGCTTCGTACTGAATGTTTGCTTTATTATTATTCAATATTGTTTAATTCAAATAGACAAGTTTTTAATTAAGAAACAAAAATTAAGACTACACTTGTGCATTGAATACTGTTTCATCCAGTACATCAGCAACCACAGAAATTTAACTATAGGTTCAAGTGTACCAGGATTGATTGTTTTTTTTTTGTTTTTTTTTTTACTACTTATCAACCCTTTGCAGGTTATTTAAAGCCAGAAAATATCTTTTTTTTAGATTGTATCAATTGGGAATGGGGAGATAATAAAGACTTACTAATTAACCCATAGCTAGTGGGAGAAGAGGTGGATCCATACCTTTCCCAAGGGTATTTTAATGCAAGTAAATATAATGAACCGAAGAGGAATTTGAATTCAGCTCTCTGATTAACAATTTGGGATCATTATCCATTACACATCCCATATTACAGTACCTGGTATTCCCAAGTGATCACCCATCTAGGTACTGAGAGAGCTCAATGTTGCTTAACTTTGGCGATCATACAAGAACAGGTGTTTTAACATGAAGATAAAAAATAGTTGAAAGACATTAGTCTAGAGATATATTTTCTAGTTCTTATTTTTAGTACTGCTCAGTTATTGCTTGCCTTGTTTCCAATGAGTCCAAGTACACACTACCCAGCCAAGAGATTGAACTCACAATTACTATGTCACCAAATTCACAAACTAATGCTTTAATTGACTAAACTATTGCCCCATTAATAGATATACTTTAAGACTTTGAAAAATAAATTTTTTACTCAAAATTCTATGAAATTTGACGTTAAATTTTACAGACATCAAATCCATTAGTTCAACTGGTTTGGCCAGGACTTGCCAGCTAGAGATATAAGCATTATTTATATTATCCGGCCTATTGTCCTCATCTTTGTCACCATATTTATTACATTTCAGCCGTTGTAATAAATATGGCGACAAAAATGAGGACAATAGTGCGAATAATGTAAATAATGTACATAATACCTCATCTCAGAAATATAGACAAATACTAGAGATATAAGCTATCATTATTGTGTGTGTGCCATTATATCTATATATCTCAGTCCTAAGGCTTAAAGAATATTGTATCATGAAAAAGTTTTATTATACAAGAAAATAAGCCTGTAAGAAAAATTCAAAATAATCCTGGTTTGAGATTTTAAAATTAAGGTTTTAAATAAGAAAAAAAAACAAAAAGTGTCTGCAATAAAAATTGATATAATTTAATAATTAATAAAAGTTTGTATATAATAAAATTAACTATTTACAACAGAGTTGCCTCCCTTGTATTGTGCTGACGAACTAATGATAATTTCCAAGTTATGTCTATACAAAAACTTTGCAAATTTATTTTCTTTCTCATCAATTTAGTTAATCACCCACGATTCCATAAGTGATTCAAATGAAACATTCCTCACCAATGATTGTGAATGATTTGGTAGTTTCAATAAAAGGAAACCAAATTTAAGATAAAAAAAATACTTGTCAAAAATTTATAATAAAGAGGAATATATTTAAACATGAATTTATTAATAATTTTCAGTTGCTTTTCATCATAACACACAAGTTGTTTTATCATGTACAAACAATAAGTAAGCAACATGGACTGGAAATAAAAAAGGTAAACCCCTAACAGAATATGAATTTACATCTCATGTCTCTGAGAAAATCTTTGATTTGATCAACAGACATTCAAATTTAGCCATATAGCTATGCTTCCTTATCCAATTTTCTCTATACTAGAAATATTTATTACAACTACTACTTCGAATAATAATTCTACTAATAATAAATAATAATAATAAACAAAATGATTGATGTAACTCTTCCAAAACTTTTAAACAATTAAATCTTTTCTTAAATTTTGCTCTTCTCTTAACTGTTAATGATAATAACATTGATGTAACTCTTCCAATATTTTTCAACAGTTAAGAGTGGGATTTAAGAAATGACAAACAGTTTTTAACAATGTTAAACAATATTTCAACAGAAGTTATACTACTACTAATAATAATATAATATTATTAATAATGCCCAGTGTAAACAAACTATGGTGTGTAGAAAAAGGAATAATTAAGACTATAGCAACATAGCAACATTTGAATTTTACCCACTGACAAGTCCCCATAGCCACAACGTTAAGGCATCAGGCATGTTAGACAAGCTCAAAGATACTGGATGCAAACTCAAATCTAATTTGTAGCTACTTACTTTCTTTTGTCTAATTAATGTTGCTTATTTAATAGCTGTAGAATAAAATGAAACATAATCCAATTAATAATGAAAATGTTTCATCTATAAATTGAACTGTTTGAGTTAGATGAAAGGAAAGATCAGCTGCCAGTCACGAATCTTCCAGAGATTTGAAGGTGCACCTATACACCATGGCATCATCTACATATATATTTACTAAGTATCTGAGAATGTTAATGGACAGATTGTTAAATATAGCAAAAAGATAGAGCACCTTGGGAGATGCTAGCATTGATCTTGTGCCTCAGAGGATTGGCAATTAATGATGACCTTCATAGACCTACCTGACAAAAAGGACTTCATAACTGAGATTACATAGTTGACAAGTTTGTGTAGCAATCCCCCTATATCACATTGAGATGTTTTTATTATCAAGTGCTTCACTAATTCTATGTGTGATAATATTTTAGAAACCAGCAGTGGAACTAGAAGACTGAAAAAACCATACTGTTTGTTACTCAGAAATTTGTTTCTGTTGAGGTGTTCAACAATTTTCTTTTTGATAACAGCTTCAAAAAGTTTGCTAATGATACAGAGGAATCTGATAGTGCAATATTGTGATGAGAATGAGGGTTCACCTGTGTTCTTGTACATGGGGCACACACTAGATACCTTAACATGGGCTTGAGCAATATCTCTTCTTAAGGCAGCAGCTTTGCCAAAATTGAAGACAGTATTGAGCCACGGTTCTTGAGAACAATTACAATGATTTTGTCTGGACCAGTAGTGTTCATAGAGTCAAGGCTTTTAAGTCAAGAAACTTCCCAAGCTGATATAGTGAGAAAGCTAGTGTTCAATGAGACAGGGAAAGTCAGGTAAGGAATGATCTTTGTCATGTAACCTAGAGTTGGGGGTATGGTTCATATTTCAACAGTTTAGCCTCATCTGATAAGGATGAGAATCTCAAGGCCATTTATAATGGAGGCACTAAAAGCTTACCTCTATTGTAGTATTACATTTGTGATTTTCCAGAATTGGTGAGATCAAAGTTTGTTTTTTTTTTATTTTCTACTTTGGGTTGAATTGCCTGCACACAGCTGCTCTTTGCATTTTCTAGGATTCTTTTTCAGTGATTATGTGCAGTTCTGAATGAAGCAAGGGTTCTGCTACACTATCCTGGTAGACACAATAGTAATTGTTACAGTGGGCCATGGTTCAGGCATGAATGGTTTGGCCATTGTTAGTATTTTAAAGCATTCAGTGCTGAAGAGAATCCATTCAGGAATGGGCAAGGTTGTACTGGAAGGTCTATTTTTTTTAACAAAGCTGGGAAAGGGACTTCTGCAATGTAGGATTTGAAAATGTCCTAATCAGTTTTACAGTGTAAATAGATATGTAATGATTAGAACAAAAGACTTAATTCTTCTTGTAATATTATGGGTTACATTAAAAAAACAACAACATACAAGAATAGCCTTGACCAAGAAGCTCTTGGGAAAAAGAAAAAGTGAATCATACTGAAAACTTTTCAGCAGCATCTCATATTATTATTATTATTATTATTATAATGATGATGAGGAGGAGGAGGATAGCGAATGAAGACAGAGACTGTACCAATAATAATTAAAGCTCTATGCCTTGTGAGAAAAGGAATGGACAATTTTACTGTGGCCCAGGTAGCATCAACATATAAGTTGCCCAGATCACCCCACCAGGAACAACCCATATCCATATCCCAAAAGTGCTATCAATTAAATGACAAGTCTCCTATAAGGCCTAAGGGCCATAGTTTGGACCCAGCTCTACAGGAGACAAAGCAGGAAACATAGCATCATAACATTATTATTATTATTATTACAGTTAAGAGAAAAGCACGATTTAAGAAAAGATAAAGAAAAGAAAAAACACATTGTTTGACAATGTTAAACAATATTTCAATAAAATGTCTTCAAGATATATTTTAACAATTTTTTCAAGTATAAAAATACATAAATCTACAAAAAATAATGTCTTTGTAGAAACATTGCTTGTCATGTAATAAAAAACAGCTGTACTGGTAATGAACATATCAAAATGAATGATTTTTTTTTTTGACGCATACATTACAATGACAAAACCAGTCTAATATTTGATTGTTATACAGATTTCTTTATAATAACCTAAGTTTAGTTAAAAGGATTACTTATTAACTATTTTATGAAAAAATTAATTCAAAATATATAAGGGGGTAATGAAAAGTGTTTGGCCTGACCCACTTACTAAAATCTGACCAAATATCAGATTTTGAGAAAAGGAGGGGAAGGGTTCCAAAGATTCCATTTTTGTTTGGGCTAAGAACCTTTAAGCCCCCCCCCCTACTGGCCAACTACAAGTTATGTAGATATTATTAAACTACAATCTCAAATGTTTTACACTCCCTTTACAACTTGCATTTTTCTTTTCATTTTATCTGTGGCTGACTCTTGCTTTTAAAAACTTTTGATCAATAAGAACAGGAATCAAAGAGCCAGAAAATGATTGATGTTACATTTAAATTTTTGAAGGTCATAGTTGACAGGAAAGCAAGAAGCCAAAAGAGAAGCGTGAGAGAAGAAACCATCAGAATACAACTTTTAGATACACTTAGCAACTTCAACAGCAAAATCATGAGACCTAACTGCCAGTCTAGTATGTCTGGCATATGAACAATATGAGAATGTAGACCTACCAACTTGATTAATTTCATTAAAATTCATTTTTAAATTCAATTTTTGTTACATTTTTTGAATTTGTATGCACAAAATCAAATTAATCCATGTCCAGTGACAAATGTTGCTGAAAAGTGTAATGCATGTAGTGAATATTGAATTGAAAGTAATTTCCTCTTATCTTTATTTCATCACTTTAAACATTATTTTAGTGAATACTCAGATTTGAGTAGATGCTTTGTTTATTTATTAAAATAGTATATTTATTTATTTTTGTCAACTGGACTGAATAATCAAGAAATCTTATTAAAGAAAAATATGTGTTCTCTGGCAGGATTTGGACCTACATACCCCTTGGCAGGGGAAACTCATTAGAGCTAATGTATTTTCAGACCGTCTCAGCCACATTTATAAGTTTTGTGACCCATATGGGTGGCTGTTAATGATAAATTACAACTTCAATGTTAAATAAACAGATATTTAATTACAAACTGAAAATAAATACATAACACAAAAAAAGAAGTAAGAGTCAATCAAAGCTTATAAACAAATTCAGTGAATACCTTCTTAGTAGCACAACTCTGCTTAACGTCCAACAGTCACTCGATCAACTAGTAATTCACTCATATGCAACATTCACACCCAACTAACCATCGACTGCAGTCAACCGGTAATCCACTACAGTAAGTAGCCTGACACCGCTATTTATATACCTGGCGGAAAACATGTCCAGAGTGTCACGCTCAAACCTCGGTGTCAGTAGTTCTTATTTTCTTCCTATATGATAAGACATGATTAAAACTTGCTTGATCGTTAACACACTCCATGGCTTGTATGGTCTGAAAATTTCCAACGCCAAAAGGATGCAGGTTTGAATCTTGCCAGAAAGCAGATATTTTTTTCTTTAATAAGATTTCTTGAATATTCAGGCTGGTAGACTAAAATAAATATACTACTTAATAAAAAAAGAAGCATCTAGTCAAATATGGGTATCCACTAAAAATAATGTTTAAGTAATAAAATCTGTCACTTCTTTAGATATTGGTTTGTTTATGTTAGGATATGAAACTGAGCATTGTATACATTTTGAGAGTCTGACAAAGATTTGCATTTATAAAGCACTATTCAACTGTGCTTGATCATTAATGCAACTCATGGCTGAGATGGTTAAAGCATGTTAGATCTAACAGCGGTTTCCTCTGCAAAGGGAGATGCAGGTTCGAATCCTGTCAGAGGATGCATATTTTCATTTAATAAAACTTATCAAATATTCAGGACAGTAGATGAAACATAGCAGATATGAATGTTTTAAGAGTTTGAGAAAGATTTGTGTTTATAAGGCACCATTTAACTTTGGTTGTTTGTCAACATCTCTGCAGCAGAGAGGGTATAAAGCAAATCAGAACTGATGACACTTTCTCCTGCCAAGTGGTACATAGGTTTGAATCCTGCTGAAGATAACATATTTTTCTTCAATAAGATTTCTCAAACATTCAGGCTGGTAGATGAAAATAAATATTCTGTTTGATAAATCAATGGAGCATTTACACAAATATGGATATCCACTAAAAATAAAATTTAAGTGATAAAATCTGTCATATTAATAAAGCACTTCTTTAGAAAATGTCTTACCTTTGTCAAAATTGTGTAACCAAACTCTACACAATTGCAAAGCCAAGGAGAGATTCTCTTTCTGGAATTTTTCATAGTCATTTATTTCTGAATCTTCTTTTAAATCCTCGTACGCAGACAAGTCAGGTGCCATGTAGAGACTACACTTTATATAGAAATAGGAAGTACATGATTAGTTTCAGCCAATAAAATTCATCTGATCCCACTGACATAGGATGGCATACTGCCTAAATTTGACAATAAAATACAATTTTTTTCTCACAACTCTCAGACTGCCATTGTGCATCTGTTCATAACTACTTTATGTGCCATGTCCCTTCATAACGTAGGCGATCATGGCTCTCCACAATTTCCTGTCCTTTGTAGCTCTTAATAAATTTTGCATTTTTGTTATCACTCCTAAATCTTCTTCTGCCATCCATTCACTCAAGCTCACTAAGTAGGTTATGTGTTGTTTTCCTCTGTCCCTCTTGCTTTCTGTCTTGTGAGTATCATATTTTCCAAGCACTCCTCCTTAATTATGTGCCCTAGAAATTTCAACTGTCTCTTCCTGATGTTAAGTACAAGTTTCCTTTTTGTTCCCACATTTCTGTTGCTTCAAGTGTTTTCATCTTTGAGGAGATTGTTGGAGTGGATTAAAAATAAAGAATAAGCCTCTGGCAAGATCTCACATGCTTTTCCTCAAGAAACCTGCTTGTCCAGGGCAGCTGCTTTACAAATTAGGCTACAAAGATTATCAATTACAGAAGCTCAAATGTAACCATATAGCTTTCATTCTTTATTCGCCATGCATACCTGATATTTCAGTCTTTGATTAAAGTGTACCTACACTTGTACTATTAAGAGTAATATTATTCTTATTTTATTATTAGATAAAGTATTATCAGTTATTATAATATTTGACTATTATTTCTATTACTAATAATACTAATTAAGAATGGAATCTGCCAAAAGGCACCCATTGTAACTGCTCTTGAGCCTAATACAAACCTAGCAGTTTTAGAAAAACTAAGCTATTTTCTGACCATACAAATTATGGTATTTTAATAGTCAAATCTTTCTTTTTCCTCATAATTGAAGTATAAAAGAGATTAAAATTAAGTATTTGGTGCTGGCTTACTTGCTTATACATATTTACTTATACATACTTATATATTATTCAAGGAAAATAAATTTACATGGTTAAATTTCAATTACTGTAACTGATTGTCTTAATGACCAAATTAATATGATAGGTGTTCTTCATATCCCCCCCACCCTAAAGAAATGTAATTTTGAATCTTATTGATTTTTCTATTTCTAGTTAGTGCTGCTTAATAACAATTGTAAAATAATGGTGTAATTGTCATTTAAATATGTGAAGAGTGGAGATTATAAATTGTCTCCCCTTGACAAGAACAGGAAATTGTCCTTAATCAGTGTGTGTAACTACTTGAGTATTATGATTTACAGCTTTACAATAGATGATCTTAGAGTTGTGATAGAAAGCAACACAAATAAAATGAAAGAAATTAATGGTTGACAATGCTTCATCCAATAAAAAAAAAAAATCAAAAATTATCAATCTAATTTTTCGTTAACAGTCTGAAGAGATTTTATTTTAAAATACAGAGTGTGACAGATAAATTGTTGTCATTTTATATTTTTAATTTTTTGCATGTGTGTTGCTTGTTTTAGATTTTGTCAACTGCACAGCATAATAGGGTCAGTTGGGCACTGTGAGAAAAAGAACACCATGACACAATTCATTGTCAGAAATTTTGAAACCGCATGCTGTACTGCTTGGCATTCACACCGGAAGCTCCAGTATGAACATTTCAGAGTGCTTAGGTGTCAATCTGAGGACAGTGCAGAGGATTCAAAAAGAGTTGCATGAGTCTAATGGTGATTATGAAGGTACAGCAACTCAGAAAACTCATTCTGATAAGAAAAGAACTCCCGAGTGCCTTGAGGAAGTAGTGCTGCCATGGGTCAAGAGTGTGGCTGCTGGAAGATCCTATGTCTGGCAACAGGACTCTACACCATGCCACACAAGCAGGAGAACCCAGTCATGGATGTCAGACAATTTCTGCAACCACATCACCCCTTACATCTGTCCACCTAACTCCCCAGACTGCAACCCTCTTGATCATTCTGTGTGGGGTGCAGTTGTACAAGAGACCAACAAAATTCCTTGTCACACCAAAGATGAGCTGAAAGGCAAGTATTATGGCATCATTCAACAACTTAAACAAAGAAACTGTCCAGAAGAGTTGCAGGAGATTCCAAAGTTGTCTGGAGGCCATAATTAAATTTTATTGAATAAATTTACTCTTTAGAATTTCAAGATTTTTTTTGGTAATTTTGATATATATATCTGTTAAAATGAGATGTCAGTGTTATTTTCATTTTTGTGCAATTTAGATGACAATTTATCCATAGCACACTGTAGTGTAAGTTATAAACTCTAAAGTGTGCCAAAATAGTGAAACCACTCAAGAAAGATTTTACAAGCATGAGAGGAGTAATGGCTCATAGTTCAGTTGACTATTTAAACTCATGATAAGGAGTGTTGGACAGTTCAACATGATCCCAGACCTATGACTTGGTACATCAACACAGAATCAGAAAATCAAGTTTGAATTTAACTCAAAACTGTGCTTATTTGACACTAATACCTTTGGGAAAGGCATAAATACACTCCTTCTCTTTGCTATGTGTAAATAGTGGCAACTAGTCCTGAGATAGAGAACTATGAATACAAAGGAATATGGCCCCTGAAAGAAGATTGAGGATAAACTCTTTTGTGAGGGTCTCTGCAGCAAAAAAGGCCAGCAGTTGTGATGTATCATTGGAAAAAAATCAAACAAAACACCTTAGAAGCAAAAAGCGTAAGAGATCTCTATGCAACGACCTTCGCCTTTTAAACAAAATTTTACTCACTGTGCTAATTTACTATTCTGCATAGCTACAGACATCAATGGGATATTCATCAAGAAAGAGGGAAAGAAACAAATTTAAAATTATTCTAAATTAGCTGACAATTCAACAAAATTCATGTTAATATGAAAAAGGGCAAACAATTTGTTAGGAAGGGTTATCAAAATTTATAGAATACAAATCAATAAAATTTCAAGCATTTGAGTTTCTTTCAGGTATGTGACTAATCATGAAATCAACAAAGATAATGAATTAAATAAAAAAAAACAATTGTTTTATAAGACATAGCCTAGTAGATAATAGCTTCTCCTCTTATGTCCATATAACCTCATTCAGTTACCCTCTATTTTGAGTGGCTCTTGGTCCTTGAAATCTTTGAACAAAAAAAGATAGATATGAAAATCCAACACCAATTTCTTTCCAGAGCAATAAGAAAATTACAAAAGAAATTTCAAATTTTTTTTACGATGCCTGGAACTTTCTCTCAATAGGAAAAGTTCTTTTCACTAATACTACCACTATTTAATTCTCAAAACAGAAGATAAAATGAAAAATTACAATAAAGAAGGTTAAAATTCCTTACCTTGACTTCTTTTGCATTATCTTGGAGAACTTCAAGAGCTTCCTCTGATTGAGGACTTGTCACTGCAGTGGTGCCAGGCTGAAAAAATATTAGGTAAATGTAAGATTGTGCAACAAAAGGTTCATATGCAATAGGCAGGGCATGTGTGAAAGATAGCCTATCTCCCAAAGTCCATCCTCTTCAGTAAACTGGTCACTGACTAGCAGAATAGAATTAGACAAAAGAAATGAATGTCCTTAAAATGACAATGTAAACTGGAGACACATGATTTCCAAAAAAAATTCTAATCTGAAATGATCTTCATAAGAGAAGAAAAATAGCACTATAAAATCAGAGCTATATCCAGCTGCCAGACCTTCTCCTGTAGCTGCTGTGGAAAAATTTGCTTGTTTCATAAAAGTCTTGCCTCAGACACAGAATTTTCCCACCACTAAATCTGTGTTTGCAAATTAATAGGAGTCAATAGGTTTGCCTATCGCCTGGTTTACACTCTCCTCCCCAGTTTTTTTAACAGAAATAGAGGTTTATCGCTTGTTTCCTATTTAGGATTGGCATTTTAGTTCCTTCTAAATTCTTCTCATCCCCTTCTACTCCCAGTAGTCCGTTGCATCTTAGTGGCATTATCACCTTGCTTGGAGTCAACTGATTTAAAAAAAAAAAAAAAACCCAAGATATGACATATACATTATGATTATTATTTGTTCCTGTAAAATTTGACTATGGAGATAACAGTTTTTTTGCTGTTACCATCTAGGCAGGTTATGGTAGTAATGGGGGGAATTGTTTGACTAAGTCTTTCCTCCCATAATCGTTTTTCCATCAACCATCATCAAGCTATATGGCAAACACAAAGGAACGTGAGACATGACTTCTTCATGTCTTTCTGAAAAGCATGAGAGTGTAATGTAAACCAAAGTAGGGTCGACCAATTCCATTTTCTAAGAGAATTGAAAGAATTGTCTAAAATGAAGGTGACAGATGTTCTCATGTTTGGATTGATTTGTTTTTTTTATGGCTTTTCAATCCTCTTTTTAAAGCCAAAATATATTTTCAATTGTAATTCTTCCTTTTTCTCTTTGTAAGTGAATATTTCATTAATAATTTTTCTGAGAATCATTTTTCCAGATACAAGTCCTACTATTTAACCCACAGCTGAGGGAAGAGACACATCCATACCTTCCCCAAAAGTATTTGCACATAAGTGAATGTAACAAATTTGAACTTGGCTTACCAATTTCACCTTCTGAACTGTTATCCATTACACCACCTGTACATCACTGAGCATTGGAAGAATTAGAAATATACCAATCATAACCAGTAATGCTAATATTAGTCACTTCCTTATAAGGAAACATTCAGTCATTATTGACCGAGCAACCAGTGCTACTTTTGGTTGAAATTTATAAAAATCTTTCTCTTAAATCAATTTTTCAGAAAAATAGGTTCATCAAATCTGTTATTGCTCTTTCCAGTATTAATAGGGGCTTTCCTACCAAATCTTTTGTTTGAAGTAGTGTGGAACATCAACCTCTTGATTATGTCATTATTTTCTTTTTGAGTTACATTTTAATTTTTGCTGCTTTTGGAAGTCCTCAGATGATACAGTTTGTTATTGAATACAATTATTTGTGATTCTGAGAACAAATCATCTTTGTTCATAATATGCCAGGTATATTTGTATTATTTACATAATGCTCCAAGTATATTTATAAATTTAATGTCTAACATTTTTTTTTTTTTACAATGATGTTTACCCTCTACAAGGCACAAAAGCCACTTGAAGCAGAAGGGTACTGAGTAAGAGGCACAGTTTATAGAGATATGTGGAGAAGATAATAGTTGACTGGAACAGGTTAAAATTGTAGTGATCAGGGAAGCATCCTTTTGGGAGTCAGTTCCACAAAGCAGCGGTTCATGGGAAAAAGCTTCACCAATGGAATACAGAAGGGTTTGAGAATGATTTCACTAAACTGTGCGTGGCATGGCAAGTATTAACCATGAAGGTTAGAACTGGTGGAACTAAGTTCACCTGAACACTTTCCATGGAAATAACAATAAAGCAATGAGAAACTTATGACTTTTCCTCAGTGAGAAAGGAATTATGAGGTCGAAGATAATGTCACCCACAAGGATATGAGGACACTTTTGGACTATATCAAAACTGCAAAGTGAATGCCCGGCAACTCCCACCCATATATGACAGCAGTACTCCATTTTCTCCGATTCCTTAATCCGAGCTGCTATCCATTACACCAGAGTGCCGAGTTTGAATTTCAGTCAAATCCATTACATTCACTTACATGCTAATACCCTTGGGAAAGGTATGAATCCTCTTCTTCTCCCCTCAGCTATGAGTAAATAGCAGGACAGACCAGATTCTATAGCCTTTGATGGCAACTGGTCTAGTGCAGAAAGAAATGGCAACCTACTGTGGGAAAAAACCTGCCTCGTCAGTCACGTATTGAAAGATACATGATTGCCTAAGTGTGTATCACGCATGGCACATAACCGACTGACTCCATTTTCGGCCTGATCTGGCTCTTGCAAAGGTAGGATTCAGGTGCTTACCGGAACCTTACGGGGAACTGATGATGTGTTACACAAGACTTATCTACCTGGCACCATTATGTTATGGCAAACTGTTCAAAGATGTTTATGAAGTCAGCAGGTAGGTATCACCAATTAAAATCTTGTTGAAAAATATTAATTAAAAATCTAAAATAGGTGACTTATGATTTTTCTTATTTTCAAAGCAAACATAAGAGCCCAAATTTGCATCTTACAAAAAATAAATAAAAATAAAAATGAATTAAATTAGACAAAAAGTAAGGTCAGATTTTTATTTAATTGGCAAATAAATATAATATAAAGATAAAAAAAAAATCAACAATAGCTGTTATCTGATTGACAGAAAACTTGATATTATAAGACAAAGAAAAACTTATTAAAAATAAAAACAATTGAAAAAATCACTGATGATATGTGCCATAATATCAAACAGATGTATTTTACAAAAATGAGAATACCTTAATGAATATAACTTACCTTAAAGATACCAGCTTTGTGTTGTGCAATACTCTGGATTGTCTCACCAAGAATATCTGTGTGATCAAATGTAAGATGTGTAAGTCCACATACAACAGGCTTTCTCACAATATTTGTGCAGTCATAACGACCACCAAGGCCAACCTCTATGATGCAAACATGAACTTTTTCTCTCCAGAACACATAAAAAGAAAGTATCGTGAGAAACTGAAAAAATGTAGGTAAGATGTCTTGACATTGTGCCTATAAAGAGAGAGAAAAAAATAAATGAAGGATCCAACAATATATTGGTAATTATATAAATAAAATAACTGAAATTTCTTGCACATTGTACCTCAATCCTTCCTAATGATTGCTAACTTACATGAAACTGCCAGTAGTGAAAGCGGAGGCGTATATGTCTGAAAAATTTTATTATTAACATCACTTCTGCATGGTTTTTCGATTTCAACCAGAGATCTTACATTATGGATGTTCGCCGAGTCGTATGACTTCAAACATGTAACACCTTTCACAGAGCCAAGCAATACAGGCTTCTCGGGACATAGAAATACATGGGTTAGTGTCTAGGCACAGAGTATGCCCACTGGGAGTCAAAGACCCCTAGTTTTGCTAAGATATCTCTGAGGAGAGTTGTAATCTTTGAGCCTTGTTTGGCAATCTGCCCATTGTTGGTGCCTTAAACAAAATACACTCAATAAAGAATGACCCTACATCAACAAATATGTTTGTACTATGAGGGAAATAAATAATGAAATAATAATCTGCCATTGTGAATCCATTGAAGGGAGCTCTGAGGAGAAGTCATAGTCAGGCATGGCAATTGTGAAGTGTAAAGGTTCCTATTGTTCATTATTCTGCTACTGGTAAATTATTATTATTTTAGGCTGTGTATTTTTTATTTTGTTTTACATTTTGCATTGAGCTCTTCCACTGATGACTCTTCACTTAAGCGGCATAAAATAAATTGCTCTCCCTGAGTAGCATAAAATCAATAAGTATATATGTTTATTACAATTACACATCACAACTGCACTGCACAGTTCACTACACAACAAATAAATGTTGAAAACTCTGGACTGCAGGATCCACAAAATGCTGCTGATGCATAATGTCATGAGAATATATATCATGGTTAATTTTCCTTGATTCCAGCCTAAGCAGACCAACCATCTGAAACAATATAGCTTCCAGGCTGAATATACCACTCAACCGCCTCTTTCAATGTCTCTGCTCACCAACCTGACAGCTCAACTAACACTTTCCTGGACCCTGCTTGATACCACTGAATACCCAGTGGCCAGGGCACCATTGGCCATGGTGATATTTATGATGTAAAAAACATTTAAAAATATGAAATGCCATTTAAGTGAAGCTGAACTTTGAGAGATTATTTTCTGACGCTTATGTGAAGGATTACCTTTTCATCTTATAACAGTGGGGGATTTCTTTGTGATTACAGAGTGTTTGAAAAACATGATTTTCTTTCAAACATTACTGAACATATATGTACTCTAAAAGGTGACATTTCAATGAGGCTTGTGAATTTTACATTAAAAGAGAAAAATATAGGAAAATGATATGTGATTTTGTCATTTGATGTGCTTTTATTTATAGAAAGGGCAAAAACACTGTAGAAACAGCAAAAAGATATACGTGTCATTTAGGAGATATTGCCATAGTTGAGTTGACAGTTTTGTTTATAAGTGGTTTACTAAGATTAAAAGTGGAAATTTTAGTCTGGAAGACCATAAACATTTCAATAGGCCTGCTGTGACACCATTTAGGGGCAGAAAAAGAAAAAGGAAAAAGAGAAAGGAAAGAAAGGAAAAGAGAGGCGAGACTTAAGCTTAGATGATAAAAGAAACCACCCACGACCGGGACATTGACAATGTTATTTTGATAGTAGCAAATGGTGAAAGGTTTCATTGCCATTGCAGAAAATTCTAAATAGATAAAAAAAAATTGACTGTGTTGTGGTGGCGGACTTATATTATCGGGAATAGATAACAGCTACTTAGTGCTGGTGAACATCTAATTGACAAACTCCAGATCGACTAGCTAAACTCCGAGACATTTTGACAATGTTATTTTGATAATGGAAAAAGATGGTGAAAATTCTGACGGCCAGTGTCGTAGGACTGCCTGACAAGGGCCAGGTGAATACAGAGCTTTGGATAGATAAGAAAAATTAACTGTGTCAGAGGGGGCAAACAATATTGTCGAGAAAGGATTTAATAGGTCATCTGCTAACCGCACATGAAGCCAACCCTGGGTTAAGTCTTTGCCGTTTTGACCAAGACATCTATGGCTGTTAGAATTCGGTTATGATAATAAAACTATGTTATCAGAAATTGGCACCAAGAATGCAATTACAGTTAGGACAATGAAACTGTTTTTCGGGACAGGAATCAGCTGTGTTTCGCTAGACGACTACCCACTTGATAATTGGCATTGATAGATCCCAGGTGACATTGGGGATGAGAGCTGCAATTAAGGAAAGAAAAGGAAAAGAAAAAGATAATTTTTTTTTTTTTGAGCAAGATATTTTTTTTTCTTAAAACAAAGCTAGCCGGATCACACCCACCTGGTTGGACGCCATTGGCCCGAATGTCAACGAGGGCCAGGCAGAGGTGATCACGTGACGCAAGGGAGGGAGCCCGCCACCACCCATTTAGAGGATAGGTATGAGAAGTTGCTATGAAGAAGTGGGGAGAACCGTTGACGCCCCTCTGAAGTATGATGAGATATCCATATGAGAATAAGAGAAGGTGGGAGTAAGAGAAGACTTCCAAAAATGGAAAGGAGTGGAAAATTCCTGACCAAAAATAAAAGAAGTGGATATGGATTTAGAATTATCGAGGAACCTCCAACCCCGACAAAGCCCACCCGGTTTTGGTCAGCGTCCATATAAGCAAAGTCACAGAGCAGAAATCAGTTGGACTCCGGTTTTCCAGAGTTCAGTCTCCAGTGCTCAGTTGAAGCGAAATGAGAATGACTTGAAAGATTCGCGCAACTTCGAACTCATCTTCAATCCAAGAACAATTTATTTTTGAAGAGCGACTTAGATTCATACCACCAACACAAGTGTTCGACTATCGCCTGAAGACACACCAAGAACAAATTTCTTAAAGAACAGACAACTTAAGATGTTAAAACTCACCTAACAAAAACAACATGTCACAATCCATATAGCGGGTCGGGAGATAGACGCAGTCCTATGTATCCAGCAACCAGATAAAAAGTATTGTTATACTTTTTTTGATACCTTGAACTTTTGAGTTATTATTTTATTTTATTTTATACATATTTGTGTGATAGCACCCTCGTTTGAAGTCAGCTTGCATTACGGCCCCAACGACTGATCGATTTCGTCTGCCTAAGATCAATTCACAACGTGGGTAGGCGGACTGGAGATCAACGCAGTTACTTTGGTAACCAGACGTTGGGCGAGTTAGGAGCAACGAGGCTGATATCGGATCTGACCAGATTAGCATCCAAATCACCAAAAGGTTAGAACGTCACATTTGGGTGCGGCGACCGATACCAAGCCAGTTGGTCGTCACAGGACGGGACAACATGACTGCTGCAGACAGGCGGACGTCATGTTTGGAGCAGCGACACCCGAACGAAGCAGCGAGGAGCGAGCGAAGGCTGTAGAGAGGGACGTCACACTGCAGTCATTGATGATGACCAAATTAAAAATACTCCAGGTCACATGGCACAAGACATTGAGGAGATATTCAATATATATCATGATCAAAAGCATTTGAAAACACTTGGATATGTCAATTACTACAATGTTTGGGTGCTTCCTGATTTAACAAAAAAAAATGACCCATTAAAAAAAATAAATAAAAATCACAGGCAATGAAATATGGATTGTTTACAACAATGTGGAGTGAAAAAGTTCTTGGGGAAGATAAAATTCTGGTTTGAATCAAAAAAAGCTGAAGCTGTGTATATGGTAAGGTTAAAAGGACATTGTGTATTCTGCAAAATCAGATGCTGAATCCAGATTAAAAGCAACAATCAATGAAAAGTGTCCAGAATTGGCCAATTGAAAAGGTGGAATTTCCATCAGAGCAAAAACAAGAACCCAAATCTCTGAAGTACCAACAGAAATTGGTACAACTTGGCTGTGCCAACATACCCACCATTGATCTTGCACCTTCCGATTACCACTTATTTAAATTCATACAAAATTTCATCAATGGGAAGAACTTTCTTTGGAAGTCTATAAAAACCACTTAGACCAGTTCATCACTCGGAAAGATGCCATGTTTTGGGAGATACATGAAGATAGCGAAAAGTAGTGGAACAAAATTCTACATATGTGGCTGAATAAATCTATAGACAAATAAATAAATATCATCATATCATAGCATTTTTTAAGTGAATTTCAAAATTCAATTAAAAAAATGCTATGATTTTTTTGTTAGCCAAATACTTTCAAGAATTTCTTCTGCAAAGGAAAATTTTTTAGTATAAAGCAAATTTATGAAAAAAAAGACAGCTATGATTATTTAATAATGATCATTTCCATACATGATATATTTAGCATTTATTGACCAAACAGTGTTATTGTCAGCTGAAATTTATAAAATCTTTTTTCTTAAAAGTTTTTTTTTTTCCAGAAAATTTGATTTCTCAAAATCATTGATATCATTCTTTCTAATACTGATGGGAGTTTTCTTTCAAACATTTTGTTTTTGGTAATGAGGAACGCTAACATCTTGATTACATTATTATTATTAGTATTATTATTTTCCCTTCATTACATGTGCTACCCATTTTTGATATTGTTGCAAGTGTACTGTGTTATGTGACCTGTATAATTTTCTTTTTTTTAATTTAGTCATCATCAATAACTGTTAGCCTACTGGAACATTCTTAGTCTTCCAGATCAAAATTTCCACTTCTGAACCTCATAAACTATATTACAAACACTATCAGCTGTGGCACCTTCACTCTAAATGGCACATATCTTTCTTGCTCTTTGAAAAGTTTTTCCTTTCCAGAAATAAAAGAGTATCAAATGAAGGAAATCTCTTTTTCCTACATTTTCACTTTTAACATAAAAAATTTTAAATTCACAGATGAATCGTATAGAAAGATATGTTGAAATATTGCCTTTCAAAATATGTATATATGTTATCAATTTCAGTTGTGCATGAAAAAGAAATCAGATGTTCAAACCCCACCTATTGAAAAATGCTATGAAGTTTGGGTTCAACTCAATAACTGAAAAACTGAAAATCAAATATTCATATAGTTTATGAAAATTTAAGAAAATTTGGTACATTTTTGCTAACATTTTAGCTTTCATTAATGAATGAAAACAATTTTAAATACTTCAAATTTCTAATATGCATAAAGGGTATTAGTTATCTATCTATATATAAAATTCTGTGACTTCTGTCAGTCGCATCCTCTAAAATAGCCAAACATTGAATGATTAAAACCAGCAAAGTGGGTACAGTTGGTTTTATTATGGTGTGTAGCTTAGTATAAAAAATTTTCAATTTTTGGGAAAAATTAAAATTTTTATTATCTAACATAAAATATACTCCCACTATTTAAAAACAATTTAATGATTAAAATAACAAATACTCCCATTTTTACATTGTTCGGACTGTTGTCCTCATCTTTAATAAAAATGCAATATTGTTTTTTGCATATCTTTAAGTTTTTATATATACAAGAATTCAATTTCCCGTTCATCCTGCATTTGTGAGGACTACAAACACATCACAAGGCTAAACACTTCAAAAAGTTGGAATTTGGCTCCAGAAAGAAATATCTATGTATGGCTAGATGTAGGTTGCAAGCTCAAGAGTAAGAAATCCTAAGAATTTAATCTTCACTGTTAAAAAGGAAAAAAAAAATTTTCTTAAATATTGTTTACCATGAAGTCCTATAAAATTAAATTCAAGAAACCAGGAAATAGGGTTTTTGCCAAAGTATTTTTCCAAACAAATCAGCTTATTCAAATTTTGATTGGTTTACAAAATTGAACAAAATGTAGAGTTTGTAAATCTAAACTAAAAATGTTAGCAATAACTTCAACAATACTAAATATTGTGAGAATTTCAACACTTGTCAGCTTGTTGCAAAAAAAAACATTCTAGTTTTTTTAAAAACAAAGGCTCTTTTTATTATATTTTCCCCCAAATAATTATTATACCAATTTATTACTTTCCCCAAAATATTGTCAATTCAAATCTTTTTTCTCCCCTCTATTTACAAGTCTTATTCATAGCCTCTTAGTCATTGCATATCATATATTATTGATTGATACCAATTTATACAAAACAATAAATACCTGAATATGATCAAAGCAATACCAAAAATACTTTGTAAATTTTTCATGAGAAATTGGAGACCCATTAATGCGGATCCGTTCTCGAACTTCTTTGAGATGAGGAGAACTGCAAAAAAAAAAAAAAAAAAAAAAAAAAGACATTAATATTTTAAAACACCTTCACCTCTTAATGCTTCCAGGTAGATTTTCATTAAAATTTACACTAGATACATTTAACATTAGAGATCATACAAGTACAGCAATACATGATGATGTTCATTAAACCAGAGTTGGGAGTCTAAAGAATGACCATATAATTGGGCATGATAGCTCAAAGCATATTTGAGGGCAACATTCTTATCTATCATTTGTCAGTCTCAACCAAAGTATTTTGGTCTGGGACAAGTGTGGATTGGTAGCTGTGATTGGCTTTTGACTTAATTTGGCAAGCAGGAAGGATTCAAGCTACATAATAGAGGAGCCATTTTGCCTGCTTATCTAATTCACCCTGGAGAATGCTAAAAGAGAGTTCCCTATTTAACAGTCTTTGCTTTCCCCAGGACCAAAATCTAGTAGCCATTCTATCTCTATGTCAAAGTACATAAATAGAATCATTCCTTCAACTCTTTTCATCATCTATGATTTTTTTCAACAGCGGGGGTCACTTTTCAATCATATCAGTTTTTCTGAATCAAACCACAGAGATCACCTAAAACAGAATCAGAGTCTGATCCAAAACACAATACTATACAATTTTATAAATCTATTGGATTGAAACAATAGTTTGCAGCCTTTTTCAACAGGTGGCATCTAAACAGGTCATTTTTTTTTTTTTTTTTTTTACACATGACTGAAATTTAAATTTTTATATACGAATAAAACAAGAGTAAAAACTATTCTTAGCTGACACATTTCATCCTCTGCAGGACTTTATTAAGACAAATGTAAGGATTTATTTTGTTCCATGTGTTTATATACAAGAGCAAGTATGACACCATGACTGGTGTCAAAGGTTGACTGATGATCTAATTTTTATTTCTAAAGAAAGAAAAATATTTTTCATGTTAAAACAATGCCATGCCATGAATTTTCAGGTTTGTGTCATTTGTGGAATATAGTGTGAAAGGTGAAATTGTGAGCTTGGATGGTTGTTAGATACAGTATTAGCTTCTAGGTCTTAGGTCTGTTTTAGTATTGTTTTCATGTGATAAAGGAATTATTCGTTGAAATGAGTGACACAAAGCAAATCTTTACAGGTTAGGTTTGTTTTGATATATGACACACATATTACTGCAGAAGACACATATTAGTCCTAGCAGTTTGATGCTCATATTTCTCATTCCTCGTGGGAACAAATGGAGAAATCTCTCTCTATGAAATATCTATTCAAGGGAAGAACTTTGTTAACTGGGAAACCCAACTCTTTTCCCCCCACAAAATACCACTATTGTGCACTCTCTTTCAACTACAAATAAAAGCTGCTAAACGGTTATTTTGAGTCTTGGATTTTGTTCATTCCACTCTCACTGCTGAGTGCGCGCGCACACACACACACAACCAGGAAAAATTCCAACAAGAGAGAAAATGGCATAGAAAATTAAGAATATTGGCTAAAGACATGAAAGCAAAAAAACTACGACCTTTAAGTAAACATCAAAAAGAGAAATATGGAAGAAGTGGGAAGAAGTACATTTTTTTTTTTTTTAAAGTGTTTCACCCCAAGCAAGGGGTTACAGAAGATTTAGAGCAAGATCAGATAAGAGTGATAGAGGAAAGGATGAGAAGAAGGATAGTGGATAGATCAAGGCAACTAGAGATGTCGATTGACATTACATTTGAATAGTTGGAGATTATAGCTCTCAGGGAAACTGGAATAGAGAAGGGAGATATGAAGCTATTGGAGTAGAAGAGACGGCTACATTTAATAGTTTCAACAGTGAAAGGGTGAGAGCGGGATGCCAGCCTCGTAGGGCATTTGAATTCATGAAATCTGGGAACCAGCGAATGCAGCTCCTCGGAGCAATTACCATGAAAGTATTTGTAAAAAAGAGAGAAGCGACAACACGTCTGTGAGAGAGCGGCTGCAGACAAGATGCCAGAAAATGATTTCTCAACAGTAATATTTTGGTGTGAATATAGAGTTACTCATTGGATAGGCCTGATGGCTGATCAAAAAGTTGATCCCTCATGGAGATAGTCAACAAATATGACTTGGAAGACAACAATGTGGATGTGGTGCAATGCTTGAGGCTCGTACTGTAGACAGAAAAATTATAGATACATTCAAAGTGGATGTTGGTATCAAGAGAAATACAGAGAATGTATGTTCTTGGAGAAGATATTTTTGGGTGGTACAGGTCATGAACAAGCTTTAAGCTCAAAAATATATTGATGCAAGATAATGCACCTTCACATTCTGCAAAACTGAATATTGCCCACCTTTCCAAAAAGATTTCAAAGAAACCAAATTAATTGATCGACCCATAGGCTCTCCAGATATTAATCCAATAAAATATTATGATACTTCATTATAAGAAACATAAATGAAAATGGATAATAATATTCAAAGATCTCTGGGAAGCAATAGAAACTGCTGAAAGTAATGTTTTTTTTTTGTTTTATTTTTCTTTTAGCATTTCACAGGATGCAATGCAATAAGATTCAAGGGGTTACTGAGTGTGAAAGAACATGAGAAAAACAAAAACATTATTAAGGAGAGAGAACAATGAAAGAACAGGAATTAAGATAGAAGATAACAATTGACATTGCATTTAAATTTTTGAAGAACAAAGTTGACTGGAAAGCATGAAGGCAAAAGAAAGAAACTGTTAGCATAGAACTTATGGATACATCTAGCAATTTAAACTATAAAATGATGAGACCTAGCTGCCAATCTAGTAAATTCATGAAGTCAATGTACCAAAGAAGAAAGCTCATTCAAACAATTACCATGAAAATATTTATAGAAAAGGCACAGAGAAGTTACATTACGTTGGTGGGAAAGTGACTGAAGCTGAGATGCCAGGTCAGGACTGATAACATTGCAGATTCTTTAGATTTTATCAAGAATCTCTAAATACATTACAGAAGCACCAAACCAAATGTGACAGCATTCTGGCGAGAAAAATTGTCTAGCATGAGACAGTGAAAAAAAACTTTCCAAGCAGCAAACCTAGCTAGTGATTCAATATAATCTTTCCACTTCATATCAGTGGAAAAATATTAGCCCAAGAAAGCACAATGAATTACTTTTCTAGAGGTTAGCATCAACCATATTGATGCAAGGCCACCAAAAAGTTCTCTAAGATGATTAGAAGAGAGCAGTTTTGTTTTGGAGGCATTAAAATTGCCAAGTCATTTCTTGCCCCAATTAACAAAAGATTGGAGATCATTTTTGAGATCAGCTGCCAATCTGACCTTATCAAACTTACCATTAAGACAGGAGTAAATAGCTATTTCATCAGTATAGATACAAAGTCAACAAAAACAGTCAACAAAACAATAAATAGTTGAAAAACTGATGAAGGTTATAGAAAATCAACAAGCCTATATTAACAAGTAATACAACCTGCCCCCCCCCCGCGCCAAAAAAAAAAAAAAAAATTATCAATATTTTTAATACAGACATAAGCTATATTACATTATATATTATAGTATGAACTTTACCAAGATTGGATAATTAATACCAATTTTATTATGATGAAATTAATTTTTGACATTATAAAACCTGTCTGTGTACGTGTATGTGTAAAGCATATCTGGTTCCCTAGAAGCTGTGAGTTCAATTCCTACATCAAGCAGTGTAGAAATATATGCTGGCTTAGCAGAGAGACAAATCAGCTTCACCATGAAAGAATTGATACATCAACAATTCCCAAGGACGAACACCAGAGGAAGTGAAGATTATACTGATATGGTATATTAGCAACAACCCTAGAATTAAAAAAAAAAAAAAAAAACAGAGAAAAAAATAAATAAAAAAAAAAAACAAAAGAAAACAATGAAAAAAAAACAAAAGAAAAAACAAAGAAAAAAATGAAATTGATGATTTGGTCAGATTTTTGGGAAGTAAATCAGTCTAAGAACTTTTTCAGCAGTTCTTCATTATGAACAGCAGAACTTTTCTATTTCCACAGAATCATTAATGGACCCAAAGGTGGTAAAGTGACCAGTGACAGTAGAGTAAGTAAATTTGTTAGTTAATGTCAAAACTATTCAACATATCATTACACAGAATGATACAAACAATTCTATAGGAATACAGGCATGACTTACCTGAAAAATCCTGTTTTATAACCTTTGTGCCTGAGGATGCTTTCAACATATGAACAAGTTGAACCTTTACCTTTCGTACCAGCAACATGGATCACAGATAATTGGTCTTGATCTTCTACCTAAATTTATCAGTAAACAAAAGAGATAGAAAATATAAAAATGACAAAGGAAGAGGAAGTACATTGATACATGAAAGAAGTTTGTTAAGTTCTATCAAATTTGACATGCAAAGTTAATAAAGTAGACAGTGAAGAAATCAAGGATTTGTGAAGTGAGCTCATGAAACTCTGCAATATCTCAGACATACAAGTTTGCTTGCAAGCAGATAATGTTTACTTCTGGTGAAAAATGTGAATTTTAAGAATAATTGCTTTCATGGGAATAATTAAAAAGCAAACAGCTTTGGGTCTGTATAGTAAAAGATAAAGGAGTAGGACAAAAAATGGGTGATTTCACAAGAGTAAAAGTAAAAATCCAACATTGTTATGAATCTAATCAGGTAGTAAAAAGCCAGCTGATGATCAATCTTGTCAGGCAGTTAAAAGTTAGCTGGTTGGTTAGTAAGCAGCTAAGACAGAGCCAGTCTGGTCAGGTAATTAAAAGTTATGGTAAACAGCTAGGCTAAATTCATTCTGGTCAGGTAATAAGAAGCTAGCATAGGATCAGTTTAACAATAAAAAGCAGGGTGCATCTAATCAGTAAACAGCTAGGCTAGTTAGAGAACAAAAAGCCTGTTCAGGGTAGCAAAATGTTAACTGAGAATCAGTTGGGTCAGTAAAGCAATAGCCAGGGACCAGTCTAGTCATTAACTGGCTAGGCAAGAGTCAATCTGGTTAGGTAGTAAAAAATCAACTGGGCTTGAGTAGTAAAGAGCAAGGTCAGTGTCAGTCTGATCAGGTAATAAAAAAACTAATTCAGGATCACTCTGGGCAAGTAGTTGGGGATTAGTCTGGTTAGGTAGTAAAAATTCAGTTTAGTAGTCATGCAAGAAAAAGCTACCACATCGTCAATCTATTTAGAGAGTGACAAAGAAGAAACCAAACACTTACTGTCATCCCAATGCATTCAATATATTTTCTCATGTCACCCAGTTTATAAACGTCAGAATTTATTCTGTCTTTCTTCAATAACAAGAAAGTTTTATTTGGAATCTGCAAGGAATTTAAGGCCTTAACTGCATCCTGTGGGGACCAAAACAATAAAATGGTTTTAACAAATTATTTTTGAGAAGTGAGAGGTGGAAAATAGTAGAAAACAATTTGAAATAAACCACATATATCAATTACAATTGCATACACACGCACACACATATATATATTTCTGTGCAAAAGTAAGTGAACCCCAAGATAATATTTAAAATAATTGTCTCTTTTTTCCAGATAGTCAACAAATCTTAATTAAACTATATATATTCATTAAGAAAAGCCTTTATTAAATGAATTACAATGAGTTTCAAAATTATTTATCAAGCTGGAATAAAAATATTAATTCAAAATTAAGATGTGCACAAGTGAACGCTTACATTGTATTTTTGTTTTTTAATGGTTGTCAGTGCAAATAATTTTTTGTGCATAAGTAAAATCAAAATGATACATGTTCATCTTTTTGGTAAGCTGCGTATACTGCTTATATAACTCATTGTGTGCAGTTAGAGACTAAAGTTTAAAAAATATATATGTAAAGATCAAAAGAACTTCCTGAAGCTTTAAAAAAAAACCCCACATAATTGAAACCCATAATGATAGAGAAGACTACAAAAAAGCTATAAAAATGATTTGAAGTGCACGCCTCCACCGTGCAACAAATTATTTATAAATGGAAGGCTTTTCGTATGACGGCATCACAATCAAGTGGCTGTTCACAAAAAATAACAGTAAGAGCAAGTAGACATCTAGTTCGGTAAGCCCAGGGAAATCCTGCTCTGACCTTTGTGGTTCTCCAATGTTCACTGACCAATGTCGGAATCAATGTGCATATATCTACAGTGTGACGAAATTTGAACAATGCCTATCTTCATAGCAGAATGCCTAAAAAGGCCACTGTTTATGAAATAGCACAAGTTTATTATGCAAAAGCTAATATTAATAAGCTTAGAAACATTCTGGCAAAAGATTTTATGGTTGGATGAGACCAAATTAGAGCTTTTTTGTGAAGAACAATAGGTGGTATATCTGGCAAGTTCCTAACAGGGATTTTGAAGAGAAGCATTTAATACTAACCATTAAACATGGCGGTGACAGCATTATGATTTGAGTGGGGTGCTTTGTTGCAGCTGGAAAAGGCAAGACAGTACGTATTGACGGAACAATGAACCCTGCAAGATACCAAGCAATTTTGAATGAAAGTTTCTTGTCATCAGTTCAAAAGTTTGGTTTAGGTCAGCACTGGATCTTCCAAGACAATGATCTGAGGCATTATAGCAAATCCATAAAAGAATGGGTTTGTAAAAAGAAATTTCAAGTCTTAGATTAGCCTAGTTGAAGTCCAGATCTAAACTCAATTGAAAATCTGTGAGTCAAGTGAAAGAAAGCAGTGTATGCAAGAAACCCAAAAAAAAAAAAAAAAAAAAATAAAAAAAAAATCAAGCAACTGTGGGAGTTTTACCAAGAAAAATGGTCAAAAATCAGCACTTGCTACTGCAAGAAACTTCTTAAAGATTATAAAAAAAAAAAGACTGGTTAACATTGTAACTGCAAAAGGAGCAGTCACTAAATATTAAATGTAAGGGTTCACTTATTTTTGCATGTCTTAATTTTAAATTAATATTTCTATTCTAGCTTGATAATTGATTAATTTTCTGAAGTGGTTGTAATTGATTTAATAAAGGTTTTTCTTAATGAATGTATAGTTTAATTAAGATTTGTTGATCATCTGGAAAAAAAAGAGACAATTTTTTAAATATTATCTTAGGAGAGGCAATTATAAGTATCATAGATTATTGTAATTTTAGTCTATCATTGCTATCCATCTAATAAGCTGACCTTCCAACTTTTGTTATTCAAGATTGAAGGAGACAGCTATATAACAGCTCTTTGAACACACCCTACTAAACAGTGCCTGTCACATGTGACTAGTTTGCAGAATGCAGTCGGGATGCGTAGATAATTTAGAAGCTTACTACACAATAATATTGTGTTGACAGAGAGGGGCACCAAAACTGTCCCTCACTCTCCCTACAGTCCACACCTTGCTCCCTATCACTTTTAGTCGTTCCTCAAGCTGAAGGAAAACTTCAGGGGCAGTAGTTTTGAAGACATTGACAGATGAAGGAGGCTGTGACAAGGATCCTGGACACCTTCACTTTGGTTGACTTCTATGGGGCCTTCACAAAATATCTGGGATGCCACAAGTGCCTTGAAGTCAAAGGATCCTACTTTGAAGGAGATTAAAGTTTTGCACATCTTTAAAATTAATTAAATGTCTCAAAATTTCTGAAATGCACCTTGCATGTGTGTGTGTCTTGTCTGTCTGTCTGTATGTATGTATATATATATATATATATATATATATATATATATATATGATAAAACACAGATGTGCCCAAAGGACCTCAAATCTGACAAAGTGCAGCAACTTTGTGTGGTATTACTTCCACAAGTGGTCAGAAAAACCTCTGAAGAGGCAGTGTGCCTAGTGGTGTGCTTGTTAATTGGTACAGCCTGTTAGGTCTTCTGCTCCTGTAGCCTCTGGAAGATGCATCCACCTCCATTGAACTGACTTGCTGGATATGCATCTGATATTTCCTACATTAAATGTGAATGTGATTTGACACAGTATCACTTGTCTACTCCTACAGACAATTCTAGTCAAATACCTTTAGTCACAATTATTAAGGACCTATGGTCAGTCACACCACTGTCCATGGTGGGGTGTAATGCTTTCTCTCAATTATTCCCAGTACACATGTGACGTACTTTGATGAATGTTAAATTTTCCCACTATTTCAGAAATGAAATATACCATCTGTCTGGTACACACTATTATTCCCCATTTGAATTCCAATCATTCACATTACCATTTTAGTATTCACACTGAGACTCACCTGATGTCATAGAACTGATAAAGGTCTGGGCATTTTCCCTGATGTCAAGACACGGTGGCACCATCTACCATTACATTTACATACTGTTATCCTATTACTTTTGACATGTGTGTATAGATAGATAGATAGTATTGTAGCATTTTGCTACCCTGTTTATATTCCATCCCAGCAAACAAAACTCTTTCTATATGACCTTGAACAGTTTTTTTGTGCTTAGTAATTCTCTGCATTGTTTTGGAAGATATTTGATTATGGTTAGATAAAATAAATACTACTTCTATCTTTTTTGTAGTATAATTCATAACCTAGAGTAGCTTAATATCTTTTTTATTATAATTGAAAGTAGTGTTATAAACCCTGCAAATGTTGTAACACTCCTATGCCATATAGACACCTAGGTGCCTGCAACGATAGATAGATACAGATGTAACAGGGCAGTAGCCCTGATTGAGTTATATTAGTGCATGAAAAGTGGTAAGTGATTTGAGGTACTGCAAACATTGATAATGCCAAGTAAAGGAGTAGATATTAGGAGAAAAATATGGAAGAGTGTTTAATTTAAACCCATTAAATACTTATAAGGAAGATCTTGAAAAAGTTTAAACTCAAATTAAACCAAGTAAGATTTAGTAAGATTCAGTATAACTGAGACCTCTGGTCCAACTGCAAAACACTGAGGAAGTTGGCATGACATGACTAATGAGTTTACCAAGAGTTTACAGGTTTTTGGATGCTCTAGAGTTTGTTTATTTAGAGACCTATTCAACATATTTGCATTAACTTCAATCTGATTTTGGAAACTTAAAAACCCAGGCCAAAAATCAGAAATGTTTAGCCATCTGGTTTTTCTAACATGAGATTCATTGTTTGAGAAACTAATTAATAATGTCCAAGTGAAATATGCATGCCCAGAAATCAGGCCAAGAGAGAACAGAGAGACATATCAGTTGCCCAGAACTGAAGCAAGCACCTCGCAGAGTAGATTCTCACAGAGTAAATTCTCTCAGAGAGTCTCACCCAAGTGACTTATTGATAATTTTTCAACAGCATCATTTCTTTTGTTTCTCCACTTTCTTCAGGATCACACAGCATTGAATAAGTAGTACTATTGTATTTTTGTGCAGATTAACAAAAATCTATGGTTTGTGAATTCCACACAAGTAAACTCAATGAACTGAATCCATTAGACACATTCCAGTGAAGGAAAGAAGACACTTTTACCAAAGTGTTGCTTACCACTCACCCTCCGCTATTGTATTCGACACCAGGATGAGAGCTTCAATACAGGTTAGGTCTGATTGGTTTGATTTGTTTTATGGCATATCAACACATTGGGTCATTTTATGCGGAAATTTAATGCTTTTTTTCCTAAATAAAGACTTGTATTTAAACTGTCAAAAACTTTAATCTTAAATAGGAAGACTGTTGTTATGGTTATTTTTTTTAAATCAGTTTAATTTCTCTTAGGAACAGCAAGTAGAAGAGAAAAATGACTGGTTTTCTTTAGCAGCATATCAACACCTATATGGATTATTTAAAAGCAAAATCTAAATATGAAAATTCAAACTTTATAAACCCAAATAATCTTATAAAAATCAAACCAATAAAAACTTGTTTCTCCTCGCAAGAAATGAAATTAATCATAGCCTTTTTTTGACAACATATTGCTTGTCATTTTACTATAAAAATGTATTGGTCATTTTAGAGAATTATATGTTGACCTTACAGAAAAAGGTTAATTATTACCATTGCTTGTTTGTTTAGCAACATATCAACTCCTTATGGGTCATTTAATGCCAAAATTTAATTTTCTAGGGTGCATGTTTCTTTTTCAAAAATATTTTGTTGGTAATTTTTTTTTTTTTTTTTACTATGAAAATGAATTGTTATACTTTCATAGTGTTTTGGGGGTTAACTATTTGTCCATAGTTGGGAGTCTAACAGGTACTATCAGCTTAGGCCAGGGCAGACCTGGGAACAACAACAATTAAGAGGTCAAGCTCCAGGGTTATGGTATTACAGGTCGATTGTTTGACCTAATACAATCATTCCTGTCAAACCGTGAATTGAAGGTCGTTCTCAACGGATTCTCCTCCAGTTCCTATCTCATGAACACAGGTGTTCCTCAAAGCTCCATCC